TCATGCGACAAGTCCAAATTTTAAATTTTCCCTTTTCCTTAAACTTGGAACATACTAATTTATGGTAATTTTAATGGGGCCAATATCATTTCGAAATTTTCGACATACAAACATATTGGGGTGGTAGTGGGGTCAAGATTTTTACGCGCAACCATATTTATTATCTTGTTTATCTATACCCACGTATTTTAAAATATTGTTTAATGTGGGCCAACCGATAATTCATCAGTCGAAATAGATTATGTCATTTCTTAATCAATTATATACGAATGTTTATAAGATTTTTGCCTGAAACCACATTTAATACTTTTTTTTTATCTATACCAACTTATTTTAAGATATTGTTTAATATGGACCAACTTATATCTTGTTTCTTAATCAGTTATATACTTACAGATGTAGTTAAATATGATGTACAAATAAAATATTTCACCATGGTTGTTTTTACTGAATCTGTAATTTTGCTGATGTTATAGTGTATCTTTGTATATATTTTATTACTATTATTAATTTACACGGAATAAGTTGCCACATCAATATGGAATAGTGCCTTGTCGTTCTGGCCGTTCGCCCCAGTACGGGGCCTTAAATAACGTGCCTTGGAGCACAAACGTGCTTCAAAATGAAACATCCGTGCTTCGAATTCGAAAATAAGAAAACCAAGCTCTGAAAAAAAATGTAGTGCCCTGAAAAAGTGTAAGGTATAGCGATACCTCCTGAGTCACTCCTGACCCCTAATGAGTGTTTCCTCTTGTGGTGGTCAGTTGCACAGATCAGATCAGCTGGCTCTCGATCAACTCCCTCGGATGAGTCGAGTGAGCGCGCCCCTAGCAAAAAATCTGAGTGACACTGTTGCACTCCCACGACAAGATTGGTTTTATAAACATATCGTTATATGAGGCGCCCCCCCCCCATAATGAATCACACGATTAACACCACAACTTGATTGAGGGGGTGTCCAAAGCTGAGTGATCTGTGGGGTACCTCTTGTTTTCTCAAGTGGTGGTCAGTTGCACAGACCAGATCAGCTGGCCCTCGATCGACTCCCTCAGATGAGTCGAGTAAGTGTACCCCCCCCCCCCCCGGAAAAAATCGGCGCCAATATCAATATGGGCGCCCCATAAATCTGAGTGACAGAGATTGGTTTTATAAACGCCTCGCCAAACATGTCGGTATATATGAGGCGCCTCCCTCATAATGAATCACACGATTAACACAACAACTTGATCGAGGGGGCGTCCAAAGCTGTGTGATCTGTGGGGGGGCCCATAATGACATGTTCGGTGGGATGACTTGATCAATAGGGTGCCTCATCCCGGAGGGGCGCCCATAATGCCGATATGGGTGGGTCGTCCACGACAAGATCATGGGCTCCCATAATATAATTGCCGAGTGAGATTGGTTTGGCGCCTACAAACTAATTGGTCGCCCAAAACGACGTGATAATTTTCAAAATTCAAACAAGTCACACGTACTGATCTAACCCGATTCCAAACTTTTCGTTTTGCTCATATAATATCAAAATATCATATTGCAAATTCAGTCTCAAAATTGAAATTTTCTGTCATATTCATAGTTCCCCTCATCAGGTGCAAAACTCTATTTTCCAAAATTTTCTAGGGGGGAGGGGAAGAGCACCCTATCGGCGACCCCATAAGCCCTTGCCACCCAAGCTCCCAACCTCGCCAACATTTTTGGGCTAGCTACGGGCCGGGCCTGAAGTGTGGATTAAGTCGTGAGAGATTTGATATTTTCCGAAAAATGCAAATCACGCATTGATTTTGGTAAGTATTTAACCGGATCCGGTAAGCTGCGGTCGATTCTGGTATATTTATGTTGGTGTGTACCACTAAGATTTCCAGTCAACCCTAAGTCCAAATCAAATAGTCAGTCGAATAAACCAGTCGATGGCTTATTAAAATATCGTTTATCATTGTTTTTGTCTATTTTTTATGTTCCCTCATGCTTTACTTTTTCCCTCGTCATATTGAGCGACGGATTTATTTGACTGGATTATTCGACTGGTTTAGTCGACTGAACTATTTGACTGATGTTATCGACTGAACTAATTGACTAATTTTATCGACCGGACGAGGCAATATGAAAATGTCATATACCACATCCCCACACGCCCGGTTTTCCCCCCCACCCCACCCGCACCCCCTGTGTACGGTTATATTTAGGGACTCTATTCTTTTCGAGGCGGGTGGGGTTGGGGCGAAAATATTAGTATCGTACATGTATCACTTAAGACTTAGCCCGCCCCCTGCACCATGCCCCCGGCTACTTAAGTGATACATGTACTTAAGTTGATACTAATATTTTCGCCCCCCCCCCCCACCTCGAAAAGAATAGAGTCCCAATATATTATATAAACGTAGAAAAGAGATGCGATGGGGGTGGGGTGGGAGGTTGCATGTGGGGATGTGGGGATAAAATCAGTCAATTAGTTCAGTCTATAACATCAGTCAAATAGCTCAGTCGAATAATCCAGAAGAATAAACGAGTCGCTCGATATTAAGCAGCGGTGGCAGTGGACTAAGATAATATTGAGTAGCAAATCATGCTCGTAGCCATAGCTGAAGGAGCCGAGGGCATAGGGTAATGGCCGGGGGGCTTCCAAATTAGTTTCAAGTTCAATTTTACGGGCAAAATTAGTATGATAATTAAGGTATTCAGGCGATGCTTAAGCCACAACTGAAGGAGCCAGCGGCTCGGTGGGGGTGGGGGAGGGGGAGTTCTTCACCAGTTATAGGTGATACATGTACTTAAGTAGATACTAATATTTTGGCCCTGTCCCCCCCCCCCACCTCGAAAAGAATACAGTCCCTATATATGATATGAACGTGTGGGGATGAGGTATTCGACATTTTCGTGTAGCCTCGTCCAGTCGATATAATCAGTCAATTAGTTCAGTCTATAACATCAGTCAAATAGTTCAGTCGAATAATCCAGTCGAATAAACCAGTCGTATATACCAGTCGAATAAAAGAGTCGCTCAATATTAAGCAGCGGTAGAGTTGCAAATCATGGTCTTCACAAGTCTTAAGTGATACATGTACTTAAGTACATACTAATTTCGCCTAAATACCAATTATCAAACTATTTTTGCCCGCAGGTACGGCTACGAGCATAATTGGCTACTCTATATTATCTTAGTCCATTGCCACCGCTGCTTAATATTGAGCGACTTGTTTATTCGACTGATTTATTCGACTGGATTATTCGACTGTACTATTTTACTGATGTTATCGACTGAACTATTTGACTGATGTTATCGACTTAACTAATTGACTGATTTTATCGACTGGACGAGGCCACATGAAAATGTGAAATACCTCATTTCCACACGCCCCCACCCGCGCCCCCTTTCTATGGTCATATATAGGGACTGTATTCTTTTCGAGTTGTGGGTCGACAATGTGTATCACCTAAGACGGGTGAAGCCCCCCCTTCCCTTGCGATCCCCAACTCCTTCAGTTATGGGTTAAGCATCGCCTAAATACCTTCATTATCAAACTACTTTTGCCCATAAAATGAGACTTGATACTAGTTGGGAATTCCCGGCCTCTATCCCATACCCCCGGAGGGGGGTTGGATGGCTGAATGGTTAGCGTGTGCGCGCTGTATCATAAAGTCTGTCATTGAGTCGACTGGCGTGGTTTCGAATCCCTGGTTGTACGTGACAAGGAGTAGGGTCGCCGGTCCAACCTCGTGGGTTTTCTCCGGGTCCTTCGGTTTCCTCCCACTGCTAAAGACCCCTACGTGCAAGCGAATTATTGAAATAAAATTAAACCATATGTTAGTCCCGAAATGACCTAGTTTGTGTCGAGTGGACGTTAAACCTCATTTCTCTCTCTCTCCATACTCCCCGGCTCCTTCCGCTATGACTGTGAGCATAATTGGCTACTCTATATTATATTAGTTCACTGCCACTCGTCCAATACCCCCACCCCCAACCGGACTACAGGCATATGTAACGATTCTATGCATTTTAATGTGGGAGCCTTTCGTAAGCAAGATCATCAAATAACTGGTCTGATTCCAATTTCTAACTTTTCGGCGCGAAATTTCTTGTTAAAAACGGACTGTAAATTTATGTTTTCTATAGTTTTCCTAGTGTTTCTAGCTTACACATAAATTTGATGTTTGACAATCTTTTAAACCCAATATTGAATTCAGTAATCCCGAAAACATTATTTTGCAAGCAATATCCACACGAACAAAAATGCAATTTTGGATTCTATTTTGATTCACAAGAGAAATCTACCCAAACCAGTACCATGCTCATATTACCTTTTTTGGCAAAGATTCTGTAGAATGACTTGCATATATTTACCTATGCATGCATATAGTTTCATTACAGTTTAACATATGTTCTTATTTGCTTCTGGCTAAGTGGGTAAGACGCTGGCTCTCTAGCCTGGAAGTCGGGTATTCGATCCCTGCATTGGCCTAGAAAGTTCATCAAGATTTTCCGGCGTGGTTCCCCCTTGTCAGTGATGCAGGACAGAGGGCCTGACAAGGACAGCTGTCTAGTCATTCGGATTAGACGAAAAACCGAGGTCCCGTGTACACATTGGCGTGCACATAAAAGATCCCTTGACAGTTGGAATTTGATATAAGAGTAGGACGTAGTGCCGCTGTCCGGGCAAAATTACCCTCCTAGCACACTGTATGGCGTATGCCCGTCTTCATCAGCCCAGTTCGGAGCAAAACAGTAGGACGTTAAACCCCATTTCATTTCATTTCATTTCTAGTTCAAGTTCATATAAGTTACCAGTTCTTATCCATGTCTTAGAAAATGTGGGTGTAACTTGCATGGCAACCTCTAGTTGGTTTCGAGGTCAGCTTTAGCTCCAGACTGGCACACCCTATCATGTGATGGATGTCTGTAGGTTACATAAGTGGTGCACACAATGTCTATTTTGTGATAAAATTCTCCCCTGTGTTAGTTACAAAAAGGTGTGGTAATTCATTGGAATGAAATACAAGTTCAATTATTCAAAATAGATTGACAGGGCTCAGGGGGTCCTATTTTATTTAAGTACATTATTACAGTGGTGTATTTCAACATATTTGTGCCATTTAAAACAAATGAGATTTTAATTAATTATTTAATTATCAATTAGCTAATCACTCAAAATCCGCAAGGCTGACAGTGATTCAGTCGCAAAAAATGAATTCTATATAAAGCCGTGGACAAAAAAAGCTTATCTCGAAAATTTTGGGTCCCCCAACTATAGCTGTGGGTCTATGACATCCTATTAAGAATCCGACGCAAGAAACGAAACAAAACAAAACAACTGTTTTAGTAATAAACAATTATTTCTTTTTAAAGAATGATGTCATTGATGTTTGTTTTCCCTTTGCTGGAGACGCCTTCTTTGGTGGAGTCTTCTTTTTCTGAGCCTGCAATAATAATTTAATAAAATATGATTAGTCCAAATATACACTGATTAAAATATTATTTCAATCAACTAAGAGTAAGTTAAACAGCATCAAATCCTGTTATAATAAATGTTCTATGATTGTATATTCCACGGAACTATACATATAACCCTTGTCTGCACTATAAAATCGTGATTTCCAATATTACTATTCTTTCAAATTTTTTTTTTGTCTTTAAGAGAATTGATCTTTGGTGCATTCACGCCAATATGTTACATTCAGAATTGCAAGATTACTGTATACCTCTCAAATGAGATTTACAGTCATCTATTTATAAAAGCGGTGCAATTTCATCGCATCCCAGAACAGTAAATATATCAATAATTACCTGTTTATTATTATTGTTTAGGTTATCAGTACCATTCTTTTTACAGGGTGGTGGTTGTGGGGTTTCCTGATCAGAAGCATCTGTAGAATCTGTTTCATATACTTTTTCTGTTACTGTAAATATAAACATAGTTATTCTAGATATGGTGAATGGAAATATATTGTGTTTTAAACATTATTACCAGAACTTCAAATGTCTTCAATGCTATTCTGTTTGTTCGCTGATAGCGTTTGTAACACAAGCTATCTATACTAAAGTAAACTCTTTTTGGATTGGTACTTTTTTTTCTTTGTTATCTAATTCATTAGAAAAATTTGACAAAATGTCTTAATAAAGAATAGAGAAGTGTAGTCAAAACGTCGCTCTGTGATAAGCAGTAATTGTCTTCCATAGAATTATAACCTGTGTATGTCTTTATGTCAAGGCCAACTGGAATATGATTGTGATGAAATTGATTTCAAAATATTATCATTATATTTTAACAATTCTAATGACAATCACTGTAACTTACTCATAAAGCAATCTTCATCTTTATATGTTTTAGCTACAAGAATAGAGAAGTGTAGTCGAAACGTCGCTCTGTTACAAGCAGTAATTGTCTTCCATAGAATTGTAACCTATGTATGTCTTTATGTCAAGGCCAACTGGAATATGATTGTGATGAAATTGATTTCAAAATATTATCATTATATTTTAACAGTTCTAATGACAATCACTGTAACTTACTCATAAAGCCATCTTCATCTTTATATGTTTTAGCTACTAGTTTCTTTACACGTTTTCTCTTTCTTTCAGTTGATCCTGTATTGTCCTTTCTTTCTGTTGTTGATCTTGTGTTATCCTTTCTTTCAGTAGATCTGGTATTATCCTTTTTTTCAGCTGATCCTGTTTTTTCTGTATTTGATACTGGTGATGGTTTTTGTTTTTTAGGAGATGGTGATTTTGGAGAGGCAGGTTTTTCAGGCTCTATTTCAATACATGTTATTGGTTCCTCTTCCTCATCAGATAAAACCTCCATTTCTTAAATAAATAAAACAATTATATCATTTTAAGAACAATAGAAGGGACAAATATTGAAATGGAAATGAAATCTTACAGTGATACGCATGATTTACTCTAGCTAAAGGCCTGAGCACAGACAAGTTTTATTTGACATTAACATTGTAATTTAATAAAATATTTACGGACTGCAAATAAAACTGATGTGGATATACTACACAATCTAGAATTTGAGAGTTTCAGACAAGTTTTTGATGGTCAGATGAAGAAACTAAGTAACATGGGCCTGGTAAAGTTCATCGTCCGAATCGTTTAACAACATTATACAAAAAAGTGAATAAAATGTTAAAAGAAAGAATTTGTGTACTTTTTCAATGCAGAGTTCGTAAACCTATTGTGACGTCATCAGAGGGTGATATCTGATATCGTCCATAGGGTCAATATCAGATATCACCTCCTGATGACGTCACAACAGGTTGATATGTTTCATAACATGCATGGGAGATCAAAGGAAATAACATATGTGTAATATCGAATATACTGAGCGCCATGGAAAACGCATCACTTTTTTTCCCAAATATTTTATTACTAGGTGTTTTTTTATGTATAATATTATGCAATACTATGAACTATTATTTCACACAATGCTCCTAAACGCAAAAAATATTGGCCCGTGTGCACAAAAAAAAATTGCACGAGATGCACATGAAAAACATGTGCTATTGCCAGACACTTCAATTGTCATCAGTCCACTATTGTAAGGTTGGTGGAACGTGTTCGAGTTACTGGATCAACACGTGACCGTCAACGTCCTGGTCCACAACGCGTTACAACCCAGGCTCAAGACCGCTACATCCGGGTCACTCATCTGCGTGACAGATTCTGCCCCACTCGAACAGGTGCAGCAGTCGTCGGAGAACAAGGACCATTAAGTGCCAACACCGTAAGACGTCGTCTAAGAGAAGTAGGGCTCCGTGCACGATGACCTTATGTTAGAGCTATCCTCAGGGATCATCACCGTCGGCGGCGTTTGATATGGGCTCAAGGACACCAGACATGGAGAAGAGTAGACTGGCAAAGTGTGCTCTTCAGTGATGAGAGTCGCTTTCATCTTTATCACGCTGATGGCCGTCAACGTGTGTGGAGACGTCTTGCAGACTGCTACGTCTTCGAAACGAATCGATGGGGTGGGGTAAGTGTAATGGTGTGGGGAGGCTTCACATTTTATCACTGGACCGCCCTACACATTTGCAGGGGTCGTGTTAATGCTGTAGCCTACCGTGATGATGTCTTGCAACCAATTGTTGTTCTGATGTTTCGAGCACACCCACAACTTCAAACAGGATAATGCACGTCCGCATACCGCCGGTTTAAGTATGGACTACCTGGCTGCTAACAACATCAATGTCTTGGACTGGCCAGCCATGTCTCTGGACATGGCACCGATAGAACATGTCTGGGATGAGATTGGACGCCGTCTGTATCGGAGACCACAGATGCACACCATTGCTGCTTTAGAAGCTGCTCTTGTCCAAGAATGGAACAATTTGCCTCAGGCCTTCTTTCAAACATTGGTTAATTCCATGCAACGTCGCTGCACAGCGTGCGTAAGAGCCTGTGGAGGACACACGCGCTACTGACATCTGTGTCGTACTTTTGGTTTTGACCCCTCTGACTTTGTACCGTTGATTACAGATTAAACATCCATAAGTGTACGAATGTGTTGTTATTGATGTGTTCCCATTTGAATATTGTTCACAATAAGAAGCAAAATAAATAAGATATGTTTACAGGATCATTTTGTTATACGAACCAGCGGCTGCCAGGCAGGATACGCCCACATTTTCGAAAGATGGATAGAAAACAAGCTAAAACGAAAGTGATTTTTCCTACAATCAATGGCCATAATTCAGGAAATTACAATTTGATATGCGCAAATATCGAAAGGAACCAAGATCTTTGAGTTATAAACTTACATTTCAAGTTTCAACAAAATCGGATAAAAATTGTGACCTCTATAGGGTCCACAACCTTGATATACCAATAATACCATATTTTTACGCAATTTGAGAACCGAGGCCATTTTGTCTGTCAGTTTTGGGCCGATTTTCACGAAATTTGAACTCAGTTGTCCTTAGGGTGTAACGGTGATATAATAATACGTTTTTTTAAATCGGATAAAAATTATGACCTCTATTTGCATACAATCAGTGGCCATAATTCAGGAAGTTACGGTCCCATATGCGCGAATATCGAAAGGAACCGAGATCTTTGGGTTATAAACTTACAACTTTACATTCTATAGGGTCCACAACCTTGATATACCATATTTTTACCCTATTTGAGAACGAACGGCAGCCATTTTGTCTGTCAGTTTTGGGCAGATTTTCACGAAATTCAAACTCAGCCGTCCTCATGGTGTAACGGTGATATATTAACACGTTTTTTTAAATCGGATAAAAATTATGACCTCTATAGGGTCCACAAGCCAAAAAACGCGTTTTTGCGTACAATCAGGGGCCATAATTCATGAAGTTACGGTCCGATATGCGCGAATATCGAAAGGAACCAAGATCTTTGTGTTATAAACTTACATTTCAAGTTTCAACAAAATCGGACAAAAATTTTGACCTCTATAGGGTCCACAACCTTGATATACCATATTTTTACGCTATTTGAGAATGAACGGCGGCCATTTTGTCTGTCAGTTTTGGGCTGATTTTCACGAAATTTGAATTCAGCTGTCCTTAGGGTGCAACGGTGATATATTAACACGGTTTTTTAAATCAGATAAAAATTATGACCTCTATAGGGTCCACAAGCCAAAAAACGTGTTTTTGCATACAATCAGGGGCCATAATTCATGAAGTTACGGTCCGATATGCAAATATCGAAAGGAACCAAGATCTTTGGGTTATAAACTTACATTTCAAGTTTCAACAAAATCGGAAAAAAATTGTGACCTCTACAGTGTTCACAAGCCAAAAACGTGATTTTTCGTACAATCAGGGGCCATAATCCATGAAGTTACGGTCCAATAGATGCCAATATCGAAAGGAACCGAGATCTTAGGGTGATAAACCTATATTTCAAGTTTCATTGAAATCGGATAAAAATTGTGACCTGTAGACTGTTCACAAACAATTGTGGACGGACGGACGGACAGGGGCGACGACAATATACGTCCACATGAAAATGTGGGCGTATAAAAACTAAGTGATGCGTTTTCCATGGCGCTCAGTATACAATGCTTGGGGAGATTATTTATTCCACACCTCAACTGTTCCTTCTCTCTGATGAGCAATGCAAACTGTAGAGTAGCATCGTTTCTGAACCCTGAACATTCTAGTTGTATCAGATATTTTTAACCTTCAGTGAACACATTACATACTTTATAAAATAATTAAAATTACCTTCGTCAGAGCTACTATCAAACAAATCAGCTTTTATTCTTCTTCTCTTGGATTTATTTGTTCTGTTATCTTCTGAATCTGATAGTTTACCTTTCCTGCTAAAACATAATACTAGAACAAATAATCATACTTCATTATAAATAAACTGACTAGGTCTTTATTGCAAATTTCAAGCACAGTGGAGAGTTAGTAGGATTCCTCAAAGTTAATAATGGTTTTAACTTTATAAGTAATTGTTGAATGTGACATACAAAAATGTAGTGTTAAATTTCAATAGTGACTGACATTAAAATAATTCTTTTCAGTCCTGTAGAATACATACCTTTTAGCAGGATTAACATTTTTTACCGGTGATTTAACATTTTTTACTGGTGATTTTTCTTTCACTACAACTTTAGATTCTTCTACTTTAGAACTAGTTTTATCTGAAATGTTATGAAATAATCATGTCACATTTTTATTTGTACTTTGTGAGAGGGTGATATTTTCCTGCACTGCTCTGAAAGAAGGGACCTCTGTGGAACATCCCATCTGAAAGACAAAACATAAACTCCTTGTTCAATGCACAGATGTTACCACTGCCAAGGGATAATAAAGCCTCAAATTTCTTTAATGTTTTAACTCAGAACTTACAAGTTGTGAGTTCAGTGTTCCAAAGCATCAACAAAGATTAGTAATAAATTGGCCAACATATTTTGAAAAAGAAATTCTTACCAGTTGTTTTAAAGAAGGAGTTCATACCACCTTTCTTAGGTTCTGGTTTAATCTGAGAAAAAAGACAGAAAAAAGCATTAAGATTTTCATGAAATAAAATGTACTGAAGAAATTTCATAAATAAATATTATATGTTAAGAGCCATGTTCCCACATTATCATTCTAAAATGTGTGTTTGAACTCTTTATTTGTTTTTTTACCTACTATGAGAAACTTAGCATTGCAACTTTACCTGGATTTTACTTTCTGATGGTTTGTCTTTTTTAACTTCACCTTCTTTCTTTACTGGTTTATCTTGTTGAGAAAACATGGATGCTATGTTCCCTTTGCCTTGGGTCTTTTTTTTATTTGTTGTAGTTCTTGATGAAATGGGTGCTGCATCTTTCTGAAGTTGAAAAAAATCTTAAAGTATTGTTATGTTTTAAACACGAGAGAGAGAAATGGGGCTTAACGTCCACTCGACACAAACTAGGCCATTTCGGGACTAACACATGGTTCATTTTTAACTTGTTTCCCAATGCTCGAAATTAAATTTTATTCTGTTTTTCAGAAAATGAATGTTACTGAGTATGTATACCCACTTTAAAGCTAAATATTATGGCCAGTTTTAAATGTATCACAATATATATATCACATATTTACAGATCTTTAGACATAAAAAGTAAATTGTGTTTTGATCCATGTGTTTCATTTGCTAGAGTTGGTCACATACTTGTTTTGTTAACTAACCAATGAAGAGATCCAATCTTTAAAAGTATCTATTTGACTGATGATTAGACTGAGGGTGCGATTAATAATCTTTTACTCTACGTGATATAAATATAAACTGTTAATCCTAAAATGATCTAGTATTTGTTAAATGTTACTTCTATTATAAATGACCTTGCCAAAAGATATTCGAGGATGCATTGGAGTCAAAAAGTTAATTTCCCTACTGAACAATTAAGGAGACTAACTTTTACAGGTATCACAGAAGATGGAGCTTGACTGGCTGATATCTGACTTTCTTTTACATGGTCTTCTTTTCTTCTTTGTTGAGCCTTCTCACATTTTATAGCACTATAACTGTAAATAAAAAAATTGCTTTAGGCAATGATCAATTTCACATTTTCAATATTTCTAGGATTCTATATCTTAAAGCTTTTATCAACAGATTGACCAAATTTAGAAATGTCAAATAAAAGGTTTGTCTAACCTACCTGGTAGCACTGAAAATATTTTCCTTGGTTTTTTCAAAGTCAGTAGCATACAAGGCATTTGTGTCCTAAAAGCATATATTTATGTTGATATTTAATTTTAACATTTCTCACAAAAAAGAGATCACTATATTAAATCAGCTTTCTTAATAAACCAAATCTATACTAATATTTGTGAAGTTTGTCTGTCTGTTCAGGGTTGGCGGCTACACTAGGTCTGCCCCGAGTCTGAAATTTGGGGTTCAGGGTTAGCTCGGACCGGGGAGTAACATAGGTCAGGTGGCGTTAGTCTACCACTTCCGGTTTCGGGGTTATGACCCCCGAGCGAAGCCGGGCATTCTTCTAGTGGTATAATAAAGCAATTGTTTAATTGTAAATCATTCTAAGAATATCATTCTGTTTATGAATCCTTCACCAAAGAATCTACTCTAATAGTGCTATATCTAATAACCCAAATGACAGATTGTTAATTTCAGTCTACTGCATATGGTGTCATTTACAGTTTACAGCTGGAGATTTGTAACATATATAATTAATGTACCTTAAGTTTAACTTTATGTACACTGTATATATGACAACTAGTAACAGGAGATAACTTAGATCGTACCACATTCAAATCTGTTTCAGATACAACACTACACAAATGTTTCTGAAATAAAGATAATAATAGTGGTTAAATAGTATTTCAACGTGTAAGTAATACATAAGGAGTTTTTCCCCTTTTCTGTTATATGCTGAACACTAGAGCATTTAAATACAAGTCACAGATGTGCAGAAATGGATCTTATTCTTTCAAAGACGCATATGCCCACTAAAACTAAGTCGTCCGTGGCAAACACTATATAAAGTTAGAGCGAGAAATGGGTTTTTAACGTCCACTCAACACAAACTAGGTCATTTCGGGACTAACATACGGTTCAGTTTTATTTCAATAACCAACTTGCGCGTAAGGGTTTTTGGCAGTGAGAGGAAACCGAAGGACCCTGTGAAAACCCCAAGGTATGACAGACGACCCTACTCCTTGTCACGTACAACTAGGGAATCGAAACCACACTAGCTGACTCAATGACAGACCTTATGATACAGCGTGCATGCACTAACCATTCTGCCATCCAAACCCCTAAACACTAAAGCCTATTGCAATGTGAATCTTTATGTAAATAAAAATCAAAATCTTTATACTGTATAATATTATTCGGATGTTTAAATGATTCTATGACATACAAAATCTGTTGAATTACGAAAGGCATCTTTATTTCAAAGGAGCTAAATCGCTATTCTTTGGCACCTAGAAATGGACACAAATGGGTTGCAACAAATATAATATTGTAATATGAATGTATATAAACTGATTTACATTCAATTGTTTCTGTTTTACTGTAATTTCTAATCAGTCATGTTTGGCAAAATACACGACGAGTCTGAATTGAATGGTAGTCTATACTGGTAGTATTCTCCTACATGGGATATGTTTAGCCTTGTTCCTCGAGTGCATAACAGTAGGACGTTCATTTTCTCCATAAATTAATTAATTAGAGAATGAATTTGAATGTTTATTTTAATTGCGATCTATTGTACTTTTCTAAATACCTTAACACCATTAGTATCAATTGATAAACCTGCCACAAAATATGTCACTGTTAAATCATCTTTATCTTTTTTATTTCTTTCTTGTTGAATAAACATAAACAATAACCTGAAAGAAACAAATATGCAAATCAAATATGCAAATTATTATGGTAAGTCGCTGCGTGTAGCATTCAACATTTCGTGAACAGAATATTATCTATCATTTTAAAATGAACATTCAGTAAGCTTAGTTTCTATGGTCATATGACACAAAAAATACAAAAAGACAGATATGGCCAGGAATGTATATTAAAGATACAATACAAAAAGAGAAATATGCAATTTCGAAAACTGTGCCAAAAGTCTTTTCAATTTAATGAGATCTTATCATTTACAGCTATATCTGACATGCTTAAAGAAGATTTTAGGTAGGTTTGTAAGATAAGATTTTACTTTTTCATTATAAACCCTATGTCATGTCATCTTATTTTCAATGTTTAATGTGGAGGAGAATTTAGTCAAGGACTCAACAGAAATCCATCAGCTTATAGTTTGTAACCAAAAAACTAAAGTTTACATTGGGTATAACCTAAGCCTAGGTCTTCAAATTAGGGAAACAAACTATTCTAATAACCATACTTTCATATCAGATATGAAGCCAGCTTGCATCCACCAACCTAATCAACACATAAATTTCAAGTTAATCGCATGATAACTTTAGCCACTACTGCACCTTTAAGATTTGTACAGAGATCAAGGGCAATAACTATGCAAGTAACTATCACATATCGTTGAAAATAATCAGGCTTCTTTGTCTTATAAATCAGAATATAAACACTGTTCAAATTTATAGTCAGTCCGATGATAAACTTAGCCTATAGCTAGAGTCTCCACAAGGAATTGTGGTCGACTAAGGACAGGTCATGCCAGTTGTTAGACAATATACAACAACATTTAAATGTGGGTGTATAAAATTAATTACTTACCTTTTAGCCAAGTTGACATGAATTTGAAGAGTATTACTAAGCCATTTGTAGGTTACCTTGAACAAAGCAAGCATACAAATTTGGATATGATGAAACTAACAAGGGTCTTGAGCTTTGGGAGGAAACTAGATGACCCAGAGAAAACACACAAGGTTGGACAGGTGACACTACTCCCGGTCACATACAAGCAGGGAATTGAAACAACGTCACCTGACTCAATGACAGACCTTGTGATCTAATGTGCATGTGTTAAACCATTCGGCCACCTAACCTCTCTTGGAGGCAAACAAGGATGTAACTGCTGTTGTAAAGTTGGCTTTAATTTGGTTATTTGTTCTGATACAGCTAGTACTTTTGCTATCTGTTTGATTAACATCCTCATACAAGTCATCCTGTAGACAGTTATACTATCTTTGTAATATAAAATATAATATCACTATAACTCAATAAATGCAAAGTATATTCCAAAATGGGCCTGCAACATTTGTCTCATTTAGCTTGTCAAATGTTTTATGGGAGATATTAGCTACAGTAATGGACAATGTTACTTACTATTTTATTTTCATCATTAATGAATTCATCAAGATTTTCCATAAACAAACTGGTTTCTGCCATTTTATTATTTTCTATTATTAAGATCAGTTTCTTAACTGAAATTGTAAAAAATATGCACATGTACTTCAGTGTTAGATACATTGTAACCATTTAGAAATAAACCTGGCAATTTATTAAACATCTATCGTTATGGGCACTTTAAGAAATCGGCATAGGCATGTTTCTATGTATTCAATCTCTACAACCATTTGGATTAATTTTTAAGCATATTAATAGGAGCTTTATAGGACTTCACTCCTTGATAAAAAAAATAATTTGTGATTGAACACAATACGACTGGCCAATATGCCATGGGCTAAACTGAATAATCCAGCCTCTGACAGGGGCGCGTCGAATTACCCAATAACACCTAAATAACACCCAATAACTCCAAAATGCGTGAAGGGAGATAGGTTTGGTATGACATCGAGTGAGTAAATTAGCTGTCAATATTAACTTATAAGGAATTTTTTTTCTAAATGCAAAACAATTTCTTAAATTATTAAGAAAATAAATAAAAGTGTTTAAAGATAAAAAAAAAAAAAAAAAATATTGACTTATAATATTTAGTTAGTGGATCTTCAACACTAAACAAACGCCACAACTTTGTTTCGATATGTTGTCAGATTATTCAATCTAATTAGTTCACGATTGCAGTAACATTGTCATTTTAGTGTTATTGTTATTGTTTGTGTATTTAAAAACTCATTTTTGGCATAGCTAATGTCGTAAACCGCTGGAGTAAAATTAAAACGAAAGTAAGGTTAAATTCAACTACACTGTATAAAATGGTAGGCCTTATCAACATACGGAAATTTGACTGTCAGTTTAATAAATGGAATAAATTAATGTGTGTGGGGTTGGTGCTATGCCTAGTATAATATGTCAAAACTCCCAACCCTAAAAGAAATCCATCATTCGATTTTACGCAACTTACCGCGGGAAATTGCACGCGGTGAAATGTAATTATAGAATTTAGTTTCACATAAAACTGAAACGAAATTGAAATAATTTTGACACAAGTATAAATTAAAAACGATTAATTGAGAGTCAAAAAAATATCTATAATGGACAGTACTTTATTAATTGTAATGAAACTCTATTGGTAAATTTTATGGCTTAGAGTCTAGTTATTAAAAATCAATATTGTCTTAATGCGTTTCAGTGCCGTTTATATGGTCATCGCAAAATTCAATATGGCAGCCTCCTTTGCACTTTTATTTGTTTATTTGTATGTTTCTTGTGAAAAGTAATTGTAAAACCGTAAACATGGCTTCAGAAGAGGCTGTTATTGCCACTAATGATGATGCTGCTCAATGTAAACGCTATGCCGTGGAAAAGGGTTACTGGGTTGACCCTTATATTTCGCTAATGATATCGAAAGGGACTGCTCATCATGCACCTGAAATAAACCGTGGTTACTATGCTCGTATTACTAGCATACGTATTTTATTAGAGAAATTTATCAAGGTTTGTCATTTATAATTGAATTATTCTTCAATTTGAGGCATATTTATAAATTATAGTACTAAACCATTGTGGTTTATTTATGACAGTTGATAAATTGCCTGAGTTGATAAACGGAAAGGGGAGGGATTAATAGTGACTAATTCTAAACTGTGTTGACTGTTGGCCGAAAAAGTTCTGTGAGATTTTCTAGAGTGGTTTCCCCTTGTCAGTGATGTAGGATGAAGGGCATGGAACAGTTTATAGTCGTTAGGATACACAGATGGAATGGGGGAAATCAAAGTCCTGTGTACACACATCTTCCATAGAAGGCTTGATCTTGCTTTAACTACGTACATCTTATCAAGGCCTTCACTTAATACCCTGCATATTGCGGCACTAATTTTGATTGGGTACAAGCCCAACTTGTGAGCCTATCAGATTCCTCGATCGTCGCGAATACCAAGTCTCGCACTTTCAAGCTAAATTGTCTACCTGTGATAATCGAGTTGCAAAGTTCAAGGTTCATTCAATGTCAAGGTTTCCATGGAGGTCGTGATGTCACGACCTCTGATTGGACGCTACTTCTCACGTGTCTGTAGATAACATAGTTATAAGTTCGGGAATTGTGAAGTAAACAAGCAACGGCCAGATGTTGTGAAACTCGCAGTCGTTGCTTCAGGAACATGGTGTACACATGGCGTTAATATAAATTAACCCTTGACAGTTTGTGGCTATTGAAGTTTTGCATCTCCACCCGTTCCCGTGGCTGTGATTTTAGAGAAATTTCCAGGGGATTTTAAGGGCAGCTAGCCATGACCACACATCAAATTTTAGCTGAATCGATCAATAACTTTTCATTTTACTGATCTTTTAGGTTTTCCCGAGAGACAAGTTTATCCGTTCGACGCCATTTTCTTTGTTGACTATTTACACTTGAATAACAAGACACTAAGACGGATTCTGACACACTACGTTTTCTGCCTAATGCTGCAGTTAATAATAATAATAATAATTTTCGTATAATTTCATTTTTGTGCTAAGCCACCATTTTCTATAAACAACTATTTGGCGTTGACCAGTTGGATTGGCCACATGTGTTTATATGTGATACACCCCTATTTTTGGCTGTATTATTGAGGCAGAGAATTCAAACTTTTTGCAGTCAGTTTTTGGACATTTGACCTTAACTTACTACAACCTTAGAATATTAAGTAACTGTTGTTTGACACCTGTTAATATGCATGCATTGATAAATGTAATTTATAGTGGAATGACTATACAATAATATAAGTATTGCATATTTGCGTTAATAATAAATATCATAAATATCAAATATTTCTCAAAACCCTAATTTCGGTGCAGACCGCCGTTTGGTTCTATCGTAGTCATAACGTTATACTATAACCAACGTTAATAAATATTATACCACCCCCACGCCCGTCCCATAATAGATATTAGGCCTACTCTATTCTATAGCCAGTGTTAATAAATATTATACCCCTCCCCTCAATCCCGTTGTAAACTGCAGTTCGATCTATTGTAGTGATTTTGTTAATATATATCTATCATACCCCACCCCTCCCCCTTTATTAGTTATCTGGCTGCCATATTGTTAGCCTACACGAATTTGAGGATAAAATTGTTTAAAATATATAGATCTGGCCCCAACCCACCATCTTGTGGTTGACTATGGTGTTAAGTCTATATTGGATTGTATACACCTACATAACTATTTTAATAATCTAAACACGAACCCTCTGCATTTCACCGTTTTCTGACAGAGCAGTGCATGAAAGGACCCAGTTAAAGGTTGGTGGTCCTAGCCAATGAGGTGGCCTTTTAAATTTTGAATGGGATGAACGCACTCGTCTGGTAGAGGTGCGAAAGTGCAATAGTGCCGACAGTTGGAATTCAAAATACATGTAGGTGTGGGCCTTATAGTATGGTAGTTCAGATAAAATTTCCCTCATAGCACATTTTAGGTTTGTCTTTGAACATTATCCCAGTCGGTGCAGAAAAGCAAGACGTTAAACCCTATTTAATTTCATAGAGGGAAAGGTCAACTCTCAGGAGGCATAATGGGTGCTACTGCACTTTTGCACATCGACCAGTTCTCATTATTCAGCACGTAAACAATACATGTATGTGTATATATGCTTGATTGTATTTTTATAAATGTTTCAGTTGACAAACAGAAAATGTCAAGTTGTTAATTTAGGCGCTGGGTATGATACCACATTCTGGAAGTTAAAGGATGCTCATTTAATGCCAGAGAAATTTGTTGAAGTTGATTTTGCCCCAGTAACATCACGTAAATGTCATCACATAAAATCAAAAAGACCTCTTCTGGAAAAAATAACAAATGAAGGTATTAGCTTATGTACATGCTATTTACTTAATGTTTTAATGTTATTTTGAATGATTTTGCCATTATTTAAGATAATGATTTTTGCTTTTAAATGTTTAAACAATCTAGAACACCTGTACTTTTCAGATTTACTATATCAATATAAACCTTCACGCCCAATAGTACCTTCCAGTTCCGATGATTTTTTTATACGTCCACGTATATTGATGTAACTTGAAATTCATGTTTATAACCCAAAGATCTTGGTTCCTTTCTATATTCACGTATATTGGATCGTAACTTCCTGAATTGTGGCCCCCGATTGTACACAAAATCACGTATTTAGATTGTGGTTCCTCTAGAAGTCACAATTTTTATCCGATTAAAAAAAACGTTTGAATATATCACCTTTACACCCTAATGATGATTGAGTTTGAATTTCATGAAAATCGGACCAAAACTGCCAGACAAAATGGCCGCCCCTCGTACGCAAATAATGTAAAAATATGGTATATCAAATATTCAAAGTTGTGGACCCTCTAGAGGCCACAGTTTTTATCCAATTTTGATGAAACTTGAAATGTATGTTTATAATCCAAAGATCTTGGTTCCTTTTGATATTTGCACAGATCAGACCGTAACTTCCTGGATTATGGCCCCTGATTGTACGAAAAATCACCTTTTTTATCCGATTTGAAAAAAATGTTTAAATATATCACCATTACACCCTATGTATGTAATTCAAAGGTTGTGGACCCTATAGAGGTGACATTTTTATATCCCAAAGATCTCAATCCCTTTCGATATTTGCGCATTCCAGGCCATAACTTCTTGGATTATGGCCCCTTATTGTACGAAAAATCGTTTTTTTTTTCGTTTTTTTTTAGCTTCTTCTCTATCCATCTCTTGCAAAATGCGTCCGTATCTTGCCTGACAGCCGCTGGTTTAAATTGTGTAATCTGTATACTGTATTCATTACTTTTTGTAGGTCATCTTGTAAATGTCTAATTAACCCCTAAATAGTATTCATGTATATTATTCAATATTTATCCTGTCCTTTCAGATGAGGACATCATGCTCAGTAAATCAGATCTTCATTCAGCTAATTACCATATTGTTGGGGCCAATCTGGTGGATTTGGCAGAATTAGATAAGAAATTACAACAGTCAGGCATAGATAGATCAATACCTACTGTATTTATCTCCGAATGTGTCCTAGTGTATATTGAGGCCAACAAAAGTGCCAAATTGATCAAATGGATATCAGATAATTTTCCAACAGCATTTTTTATTAATTATGAACAGGTAACTAGTTGTGCACTCCCACATCCTTGCCCAAAGTATTCGACCATATTATAGCGTTTAATGTAGATATGGCATTGTCTAATCCTCTAAATATCAACACCATCCAATGACCTAGAGAGTTAATTTAATTATAGGCTTATCATGTGAATGTTTAAATAATAACTTAAATAACATTTGAAGCCAAAAGATGACCTGCAATGGGCATGTTTAGCTCTCACAAATTGCCTCTTTATATAGAACTGACAAATCTAGGCATATGAATCTGTGAGCACAAAAGTTAATCATATTGAAAATCTTCATTTTAATTTCAATATTATATAATTGAAGAAATGCATATTGTTGCTGGGGAGTCAAACGGTCGTATCTGGATTTTGCGAAATTGTCCAGGAGACTAAAATCAAAATGTCGTACAGAAACATCAAATGAAAATGTCACATGTAAAATGATGTATTTCTAAAGATTTTTTCAAATATTTATGTAAAAAATGTGAGTGAAGTTGTTTAAATAGTATGTAGCTATCAGGCTAAACATCTAGTGCAGAAATAAGAAGTGAAAGCTAGTTATTTGCAATTTAATACAGCAAAGATGTACATGTATTTCATGAAAATATTTATGTTTACCTGCTTCAATTTCATAGATTTCACACAGTAGAGGCGCTCAACAATATAATACAAAACTTTCAATAAAACCATACTGACTATATTTGGCTTGATTGTAATGCTTTGACACGAAGTTGATCTTTTTAAGGAAATACAACATTTTCGCTCTCAACATTGATATATTTTTTGGGAGTGTCCCATATAAGACATTTAGAAATAAAATCAATAAAAAAACCTTTTTATTGGCTTAGAAATGCGACTATTAGATGAAAAGATGTGCAAGCAGAATGAAGCAAAAAAGTGAATTTGGTCAAATGTACCATATATAGCCTTTTGACTCCCCACTTGTGATATACATGTATTTATTTTAGGTGAATATGGGAGACAGATTTGGTCAAGTTATGATAGATAACTTAAAGACAAGAGATTGTTATCTATATGGTGTTTCTGCTTGTGATAGTTTACAGTCACAGATGCAGAGGTATGTCAATTTTTTTTCCTCTAATGTTTAAATGGATGGGGTAATTTAGTTAGGTTTCACAGAAATTCTTATATATTATAAAAATTGAATTAAATGAACTCAATCTGTTACAAGGGAAATCAGTGCTTTGTAGATCTTTTGATTAACAAACAATTTTCCTTTTTCACGTAAATAATTGGCAATACAAATACTGAGTTACTGACAAAACATAATACATGTACATGCTGTGCTGAATATATGTTAACCTGTGGTTGCCAGGCAAGATACGCCCACATTTTGCAAGAGATGGATAGAGAACAAGCTAAAAAAAACCTCTTTTTTTCATACAATCCGGAGTCATAATCCAGGAAGTTATGTTTGGATTTGTGCGAATATCAAAAGAAACCAAGATCTTTGGGTTATAAACATCAAAAATCATATAAAAATTGTGACCTCTAGAGGGTCCACAACCTTGGTATTACATACTTTTACACTATTTGTGTACGAGTGGCTGCCAATTTTTCCAGCAGTTTTGGTCCGATTTTCACAAAATTAAACTCAATCAACATTATAGTGTAACAGTAACAGTGATATATTTGAACTTTTTTTAAATCGATTAAAAATTGTGATCTCTTGATAGGGACCACAAGTTAAAAAAGTGATTTTTCGTACAATCAGGGGCCATAATTTAGGAAGTTAAGATCTGATATGTGAAAATATTGAAAGGAACCAAAATCTGTGGGTTATAACATGGATTTTAAATTTCATCTAATTTGGATGAAAATTATGACCTCCACAACCTTGATATACCATATTTTTACACTATTTGCATGTGAGGGGTATCATTTTGTCGGGCAGAATATCGAAATGAACCAAGATCTGTGGGTTATAAACATGCATTTCATGTTTCATCAAAGTCAGATGAAAATTGTGACCTCTAGAATGTCTTCAAGCTAAATGATTAAATTTTTTTTCATTGATCTTAAACAATATTTTTATTTGTTTTTCAACTTATTTGAGCTTGGTTTGAGGGAAGTTCTGTATATGTTATCCCTCACTGTTACAGAGTCAGTAGAGAAAGAGCTCTTTTTGTACAGCTTTGTGTTATTGTTCAGTGATTTTATTATGGAAATATCAATTTCTTCCAGATTTACGTCTAATGGTTGGCGAGATGCTGATGCTCTTGAAATGAATAAAGTGTATAACTGTCTTCCCCAATCCGAAATCAAAAGGTACATTAAAAATAATGTTATAAATGGCTAATTTTTTTTTCCCAAAGGCTGTCTACTAGCAGGCTACTTATTTCCACACTGTCACAAACTATTAACTGAAAGATACCTAAAGAGTATCAGGGCCCTGTTTAACTAAACAAAAGACTGTACAAGTATTCAAATCATATTTAAGTAAATTTCTCAATGAAAAAGCTGTACTTGAGCATGACTGAAAACATGTCAACTTACTCTGTACATTAAGATACAAACATTGTGATGTATATCGTATTCTGACTATAGCATATTTCTCTACTTCAGAATCGAGAAATTAGAGCTGATGGATGAACGAGAATTGATGGAGCAGTTATTTAGTCATTATTGTCTAGTGTGGGCTTATAAAGATGTGAATAATATTGGACTTGAAGAAATTGATTTAAGTCAGTCATAACATGAACTCATCCGGTATATGCATTTGCATAATTCCTGCTGCCTTGTGATACTTATGTATATAATTAACAAAAGTGCTTTACTGTGGCTTTAATTAGCAGCTTATTATTAGAAAACCTTTGTTATGTTGTAAGGATTGATTAGTAATTTTATTGTGTTATTAACTGAAAAAATAAATTTGATGTTAATTGTTGTCCACTCACACTCAAGAACTATCCAGCATATTATCCCATATAGATATAGATAATTCATTATATCCATGATTCATCTTCAAAACAGAGTTTTTTTTATCTACCTTGAAAGAATATTGAAATTGAAAATATCAAATATTCTATTCTGAGATACACCAACGTAATAAAGAACCATTTCTGACAAGAGAAAGTATGCATATTGTCATAAACGCAAGGTTTTGGACCATATGTTGTTATCTTTTAGAGACTGACTTGATTTAATAATCTGTATATTAGTCACACAGAATATAAGTGTCTAACTTCTTCCTCAGGGTATTACCCTGCTTATTCCATCCCTTGCAGGCCTTTATTTAATAAAATATTGAAAGACACATTGTTTAAAATATTACCCGACATCTTAAACAAAACCTTTGATATTGTTCTGAAGTATTACTCGGAGTAATGAATTTTGTATTACCCGTAATGGAATGGTTCCAACTTCCAACCCTATGTGTGTATGCCATTATTTGTGACAGTGTCTAATAAGATATATTGCTTTAGGTTGTGCTTGTAAAATTCAGCAGACATTCTTGTTGGGTTGTAATTATTGGCCAGTCATGTTAGCATAACATGTATTTAACTTCAGAGGTTAGTTTCCCAAAGTTGCATATTTACAAAATACAATTATTTTGATTTTCATTTTAAAGGGCCAATCTCAATTATATTTTGGAGAATAAAACTTCTTAATTTTGTGTAAAAAGTCTGTAACATCCTTTACCTTAGAGGTGACCAACTAACTCAATCTGGAAATCGAGACCAGTGTCCCAACCTGTATTTTACAGTATCTGGATAAAATCCGACTTTTATTGTCCCCCGCCTTTCGAAGACAGCAGGGGACTATTAAAATGGGTTCGTCCGTCTGTCTGTCTGTCCGTCTGTCTGTCTGTCCGTCACACTTTTTGGGACACAATAACTCTCTTCCTAATTGAGCTAGAATGTTCAAACTTGGTGTATGTGTTTATTAGGTCAATGCCTTGATGGAGTTCGAAGATGAGCATTTTCCGCTTAGGGTAAGCAGAGATAAGCAATTTGATTGGTTGATGCTTTGGGACACGATAACTCTCTTCCTAATTGGGCTAGAATGTTCAAACTTGGTGTATGTGTTGATTAGGTCAATGCCTTGATGGAGTTCGAAGATGAGCATTTTCCGCTTAGGGTAAGCAGAGATAAGCAATTTGATTGGTTGATGCTTTGGGACACGATAACTTTTAATTGAGCTAGAATGTTCAAACTTGGTGTATGTGGTTATTAGGTCAATGCCTTGATGGAGTTCGAAGATGAGCATTTTCCGCTTAGGGTAAGCAGAGATAAGCAATTTGATTGGTTGATACTTTGGGGCACGATAACTCTCTTCCTAATTGAGCTAGAATGTTCAAACTTGGTGTATGTGTTGATTAGGTCAATGCCTTGATGGAGTTCGAAGATGAGCATTTTCCGCTTAGGGTAAGCAGAGATAAGCAATTTGATTGGTTGATGCTTTGGGACACGATAACTTTAGTTCTAATTAAGTGAGATTGATGAAACTTGGTGTATAGTTTCATTACAGTAATACCTTGACTAAGTTTGATAATGAGCATTTTCTGCTCAGGGTAAGCAGAGCGATACGCAATTTGATTGGTCGAGACTTTGGAAAACAATAACTCTCCTACTTTGATTGTTAGACTATAAGTAAAGATATACTGTTTGATTGTTCAATACTTTGTAAAAGATAATTTGTGATAAATTTATATGTGTCCTCTAATTATTTTCCTATTTCGGCGGGGGACATCAGCCTCACTGTTGGCTTGTTTTATAACAAATAATGTGTAGGTAAAATTTACCTTTCGTGGGTCATGCACTGTATAGACCTCTAAAGGAACGGCAATAGATTATCAGGTCACCCAATGAAACAATTGACCCAAAATCTAAAAAGAGTTAAGTTTCCGGATAAGTGGTTTTGACGTCCATGTCCAAATGATTTAATATTTTGAGCTGAAATTTTGAAACAACATAAATATACCATTCCTCTATATTTTGACGCTTAAATTTCATACGTACACAGACTTTTTTTTCTGAGACTCTGTTAAAATTGGGATGGTCCCTTTAACTTTTATCTCTGTAAGATAGTCATTGACAGCCCAATATTTTCATCTGAAAATTCTGCAAATTGAGTTCTGGCAAAATTGTGATATTCTTTTTAGTGGTACTGTAAAGAGGCATTGGTGCTTTTGAAGTCTTCTCTACTTGGTAAAAATATTTTTTGAGTTGATGTGATTTGGCAATACAGTCACATCGGGGATTTTCAAATTAGATAGTATGTAATACTTTAAACAAATCCATTGTCGAGATTTAGACAGCCTGACTTTTAATGTACAAGTCATACACAATGTTATTAAAAATTATTCATAACATCTTTCTGTAATGGTGACTAGAAATTACAAACAGTTTGAGTATTTATCAATAATCAAACTAGAAGTGGGACCGTATTCATGACTACCAAAAGCCTATCACAGAACTTTGTTTCTATGAATTGTTAAAACATTTGTCATTTATGTCAACATTTTTCTAGTATTAAAACATCTTTTTGAAGTAAGCAATATATAGTTTACGTAATTTTTAAACGCCCACATTGAAATGTTGTATATTGTCATTGCCTCTGTCCGTCCATCTGGCGTCAACAATTGGTTGTGGATGCTCTAGAAGCTTAAATTAAAATCTGATTGACCTGAAATTTATACACAGTTTTTAAGGTCATGAAATGAAGAAGCCTATTGATTTTCAATGATTTCTGATTATTACTGCCAGAGTTATAGCCCTTGTTCACTTTGAAAAATCTTGTGGTCGTTCTAGAGACTAAAGTTAATATCCAATTGACTTTAAATCAATACACAGTGGTTAAGGTCATGAGACGAAAGAATTACTTCCAGAGTTATGACCCTTGATATTAAATGTTTTGCATACTAAACGTTATAGGGCAAGAAGCCAAACAAATTCTAATGATTTCTGATAATTACTTAATAGGTTGTTACTCGTACTCAGATTTTAATATGTTGTAAATGTTTTCATTACTGACAAAAGAATAAAATATGCGACAACTACCGACAACCCTTGTTGACTGCCCGGACGACTTGACAACTTAGCTGCCATGGACAGTGAGGATGTTTTGTTGCTTGGCAACCTATTTTTATATGACCAGCTATGGTATATTTATGTCGCCCATGATGACCTAGTATAGTAAACTAATAAAGAGGTTTATTGATCTTGCCTTGAAATCCATGTAACCACTGATCATTTTTTTTAAAACTTGCATAGTTTATTTAGGACAAATAGTCAGTTTTTTACAGGGTCATTGCACAGAATTGAAATCCTTGTAAAAGTTTAAGGAAAGGATAGAATTAATTTATTGGGAAACCTACATAGTTTAATTGTACCATCATAAGGATGAATCCTTTCTACACCAAGTATTTGCTTCATAGTCAGAATATTATGGAGTTATGATCCTTGTAAATGTAATCAAGTGAAGAGTTAAAACTCTTTTTTTTTTTAAAACTTGCATGGTTTAATACCATAAGGGGGATCATGTGGCTAAGTGGGTAAGACACTGGCTCGCTAGCCTGGAGGTCGGGTGTTCGATCCCTGCATTGGCCGAGAAAGTTCATCAAGATTTTCCGGCATGGTTCCCCCTTGTCAGTGATGCAGGACGGAGGACCTGACAAGGACAGCTGTCCAGTCCTTCGGATGAGACGAAAAACCGAGGTCCCGTGTATACATTAGAATGCATGTAAAAGATCCCTTGGCAATTTTAATTCGATATAAAAGTAGGCGATAGTGCAAAATTTCCCTCATAGCACACTGTATGGCGTATGCCCGTCTGCATTAGCCCAGCATAGGAGCAGAACAGTAGGACATTAAACCCCATTTCATTTCATTTTTAATACCATAAGGATGAATCTTAACAGAAGTCAATGAATGGAGTTATTGCCCTTGTCTCAATAACCTTGTATAAAAAAAAGTTTTCACAGAACATTTTTATAACTAGCATAGTTTAATAATGGAGTATAAATATTTTGAAGCTGTGTGGAGTTATGCCCTGGCTTTAATAATTTTTTAAAAGCACTACAATATCGATGGCATTTACTTAAGACTGGGCTAAATGATTCTTTGATCCCTTCGGTGTAAATTATGAAATTATGTATTATGGTTTCTTTCATTTGGAGTGAAGGCTTGGCAAGAACAATTATGTTGTATTGGCAGAATTGTTTAAAACACTTAAATAAAACTATTATTTATGCTGCTCTTTCAGCCATAATTTCATCTGGGTTTGCTTGAAAAGGAAAGTTAAAAAGTTGGAACATCCTTTATTATCACAGTCACTTCCAAGTCTCGACCAATGAAATTGCTTATCTTTGAATAGCTTAAGCAGAAAATAATCATCATTGAACTCAGTCCTGACATTCACCCAATGAACAACACTACCAAGTTTGATGGTTGAACATTCTAGCAGCAGATTTATTGTCTCAAATGTGTGACGGAGAGAGAGAGAGAGAGAAATGGAGTTTAATGTCCACTCGACACAAACTAGGTCATTTCGGGACTAACACATGGTTAATTTTTATTTCAATAATTCGCTGGCGCGTTGGGGTCTTTAGCAGTGGGAGGACCCGGAAAAAACCCACAAGGTTAGACAGGCGACCCTACTCCTTGTCACGTACACCTGGGGAATCGAAACCCCTCCAGTTGACTCAATGACAGACCCCCCCTGAGTTAAAACGGAAGTGAGTGACTGCGATAACAAAGGTATATTAAACGTTTTAGAAAAGTCTGTTATCTATAAATAAATGTATCACATTTCAAACCATGTGAAAGAAAGCAATTTAACAGCTGGATACAAAATTGTAATAGTGTTATTTCCTTCATTATTTGTTTTCTTGCCTTAGAAACATGCAATGTTCTTTACCTATGTTTAATTGTGAATAATAATAAAGCTAAATACTGACAAGATTAACCTTAAGTATATGTCATATAAATTGCTGATATGTAACCAGCACTTGGGGTAGTTCAATCACAAGGAAATGGATTAAGAGTTCAGGGTTTATAATCTGGTGTTACATCTAGCTAGAAGTTAATCAATTTAACGGTTAACATCAGACTTATGTATAGAAATCAAACATCTTTGTATAAACATCACTACTACAATTATTCCACAATGGCTTATTATTGACGGAGATATACCTCTTACTGGGCTTTTCACTGACTATGTCAACATACTTTGAAAGTGAATTCAAATGACGTCAATGCAATGCAACAATCCTGACAACCCGCTGAAAATGATTAAAGTGACCATGGGTCTCTATTTAGTTGGTGCTATCTGTGTAATGTTTATTACAAAAGAGAGAGAAATGTCTGTTGTCCTTTTATGGAAAATAAGGTTTAATTCTGCAATGATATAACTGTAAAAAAGTTTCAAATCAAAAAAAGGTATAACACGTCTAATTACATCAAAACACTAAAATTTGTGATGACAAAAATACCCTCACTAAGCATTTTAAAATTGTATAAACTGTACAAACATGAGCTAATAATAAGTACCGCATATATAACAATAATAAAACTATTAGCACATAAGTCTTCCCTTATAAGGTAAGAAAACAAATGTATCTATTTTCCAATAATACATGTAAAACAATTATGCTATGATCACTAAATTATAAATATCTACTCATGCATGATTTACATTACTACCGGTATAATAACATCATAGATAATACACATATATTATCACCATCAATCACATCGCCATATTATTTATCATCTTGACAATCAGAATGACTGGGAAATGCTAATTTAATGCCCAATAATTTAAATACAATACACTAATTGTCAGATTAATTTTCTCTGTGTTAAAGTTTCTACCAGTCTTCAGTTCTTCTTCTGATGTCAAGCACCAAAAAAAATAGGTATGTAACTTGAGATATATATATATATATATATATATATATATATATATATATATATATATCAAAATTACTTCTATTTCGATCTATAAAGCAATCACTCACTACAAGCTAATCAGTGATTAAATCACTTTTTAAAATACCTGTTTAGATGCCACCAAACACAGGATTTTTTTTATCAGTGTTTATATGGCTAAAAAGAGCTTCAAATTTAAAAAGTACATTTTTTATATTACACGATTGACAAATATCATCTCTCTCTCAATTTTACAGACTGTCATGAAGACAAATATAACAGAAATGAGAGTCAGAGGTTGATTGACTGATAAATTTATGTGACTTATCTATAACTATGCATAAAAAACAATTTGGGGTAAAAAGGTTTAATACATTAAAAACCCGACTCTTATAACATACCTATATGTCATGTACACAGTACATAACACCTTATCATGAATAGCATAAAAAATATAAAGGCACTTTGTTCAGTTGGATATAAACATCCATTCAGCAATGAGCTAAATTGAAATAAATAAACATTTTGTTTCGGACTACACAAACAATAACTACATAAAAAATGTTTCTATTTTTAAAAAAAAATCTTTTATTTTTAAAAAAAATTATATATTTTTTTTCCAATGAAAAAACGTCTTTTTACACAATAGGAGATCGACAAGGATAACAAAATAATTATCTGAAAAGTTTTTATCACAGCAATATAATATACATCATCAACAGTAACATACCTTAAATATCTTTCCCATCACTGTATACAAATGAACTGGGTGTATAAATTGTGACTCTAATAAATGGGACTAATTATATAAAAGGGATGTAGATCAGATGATATATAGTTTCTTTTAAATAACAACACCCTCTGGGCTGTGAACTTATATTATATTATTATTATTGTTCGATTTATATAGCACTTCATTACACATGAGTGTTTCTAAGTGCATAACCAACAAAGTTATGATTTCGACAAAAAATAGACAATGATCACCTTTACAAAAAATTTGTGTGTACCTTAAACATACATTATGCAAGAGCTAAATCTGCCTATTGCAGGTCTTTTATTAGGCCTGAAATGTTATCTAAATTATTAATTAGACATTAATTAACTTATCCAGACCATAATCAACTCTCGATGTCATCGCTAGCCTGCAATATTTACTGGATTATGATCCCATTTGCTGATCAACTTTCCTTCATGATCTAATCATGAAATGGATAATCGAGACTATGTTTTTTATCGTACCGACTTTAGTAATGATGATCAAGGCTAGGCTGAAATTTCAATTGCTTAATTCTTGGTTCATCGTAGATCAATTTGACTGAAATTTTCAGCAAATTGCCTTTACCTTATCTAATTTTTAACTATTATAGTGAGAACTGCCAGCTCTTTATCTAATCTTCCATAATATATCTTTAATATGGTAAAAATTTGCTTATTTTATGTCTCAAAATTAACTGTTAGTTGTGGTTCTATTGTCCCATTAGCAACTGCTGGTTTGCATTATTTAATTAGGTGTGGCACTTGAATGAATGCATCTAGAATATTGAATCAAGTAGTTCTCTTCCTTCATTATCTGTCTATTTTTAGAATATATAAATATGTGGACTGTCTGATTTAATGCACAAACTTTATTATGGATTAAGCAGGCAAATGAATGTAAAACATGACCAATATGTGTAAAATATACACTATAACCTAGATCTGTATGAATATTTACATTATACCTTATTAATAATAATTCACCCTGAAAAATTAACAATTGGTATACTGTGAATGCATAGTTGGAACACTTTGGGATTTGCTAGTTTAAAAATCAAGAAAATTTTCCATATCTTCTGCTGACGCAGGTGCTGTGTCAAGCCAGTCATTTTCAGCATAAGCATCAAAATTTGTTGTGTCTCCAAAATGTGTTAGCTCAGGAATAATCGGGGGCTAGAAAAAAATGAAAACAATTGTGGATAAATAATATTGTTTGCTTAACAGAGAGTAAGTGAATATTAAATACATCATAAATGTTTATCACCCATTACAGCTGCATTACACAGGCAGTATTCACCTGTTTGTTATCTTAAAATGTATACTGCAATAATATCTCCTATAAGATATAGCTTCAACTTTTAAAAAAAGATTGTGATTTCCATTTACATGTATATTTCTTTTTTGTATTTAAGGGTGATATTGGGGTATACATATAATTTCATACCCTTTTATAAAGATGCATTAGGTAAGAGCTAATGTTATATAAACTATTATTTCGACATTTATTCACATGACAAGCTCATAATCAACTCTCTAGACCATTGGATGGTCGGGATTTTCATATCACCATTTAATTATTTGATTTATTAATGGATTATCAAGACTTTGTTAATTATTTTAACAATGGTACTTGACAATCAAGACTATTTTTTGAACACATCAAAGCATAATAACTTCGTTCAGAAACGAGTAATTTGACTGTAATTTTCAACATGTTCACATTTCATTATATTATTTATTTTTCAACTATTATAGCAAGAATGGCCAGCTCATTATCTAAATCTTACATAGTGCATTATTCAGAGTCTCAAAACTTGTGTTGATATATTTTATATCAACAAAGAATTTTGTGCTCTTTGCCCCAGCAAACACAACCCCAAAGCAAATAAACACAAGATGATTGGTGTGAAATGTCATTTACTAAATGTAGACTTAAGCATAGGTTCGGACAGTAATTAAAACATCATTAGATTGAACAAAATATATTTGCTGATTAGAAATATCAAGCAATTACCCAAACAACCTCATGTTTCTGAGGATCAAATTATGTTGGGCTGAAGAGAAACCCATTTATCCAGCCTCCGAATCTTTTACGTTTACTGTGTAAATTGCAGCTCAGGTTTTCATATCATTTACACTTTCCTTGTAAGCCCTGACATATGGAGTGCCGTACAAACAGTTTAAAGTAGCTACGACAAAATAAAGTGCTGAATAAGATTGATCTAATTTGTTATTTCAGTGAGTCATGGGGTAAAATCTAAACAATTAAAATATTACATGGAGTATGTTTGTTGACACATTTTAATTTCCTTTATGGTTTAAAGATACATAAAAGTATGCCAATTGTGGTATATATAGTGATACCTTATCATACTAGAAAAATACTAGATTCCTTGAAAAACACAAATAGGGTGCGCACAAGATAAAAATGTGAGGGTATCTTTAAAAGGTAGTCTGTCACGGTCCTGAGAACATTGAGAGAATGAAATGTCAAGTATACTCTGTGATTAAACAACAGAAAAAGATATTGAATGAGAATAATCTAGGAATATACTTAGGTTTCGATATTTATGATAAATGGTCAGCAGACAGTTTTGACAGAATGGATTCTTCGACAATCAATCATCATAATTCCAGTTCAATTACTAAATGCCATTGAAACAACTCAATCAATCAGTCAGATTAATAATATATTCTCACGGCATGGGATAGTTTTTTTCTGATTAAAATGTTAAGTGTTTTAAGAGGGATTTGACACAAACTTTTGATAAATAAATTAGTTTGAATATGTTTTTAGTCCAACTATATTATCAAATCACACATTTTGCATGCAGGAAGGCATCTTTATACTGTTGACAGTGGTATGTAAAATCAGTTATCTCAGCATTGGCTTAATATATGGACGTAAAATTTTAGACATTTACAGATACCCACTTCACAAAGCAAATCAACAGATAAAACTTAATTAAATGATCACCTCTATATTTGAGCCCAACCAAAGAGGTCTAGTCATTTCAACAAACTTTTCTTGTCAGCCCTGACATATTGAATAGAAAGAAATTGGATATAAGCTCACCTTCAATTTTCTTTCTTGTACCTCATCCCAGTCAATACCTTTGTACCATCTATGTTTCTTTATATCATCAGCCCCACTCTATGTAAACAACAAATGGAATATAATTTTAACTGGAGTCATTAGACCTTTTTTTTTATCAAAAATAAATTTTAAACTGGAATACAAGGGTCACTTTAGAATCATTTAACTGCATATAATTAACTTTTTATGTATTTTTCATCCATTTTTTTATGTATTTTTCATGCATAATGTATAATTTACATGCTACCTGAAAAGGGTGTTTGATGTAATAAATCCTATCTATCTATCATTAATGCAGAGCAATTTTAACCCCCCCAAAAAAGAAAAAAAAAGTTTAGCATTTTGTTTTCCTTCTAGATTTACTTACTCATATATGTGTTGAGGTTATATGATTTTATATATCATATTGCATACAAAAAAAAAATTCCTTAAAATAAACCTTCTATATATACAAGAGCTTAGTCAATATTATTATAATAACTGTATACAAATGTGTACAGAAATTAATCTTCCTTTCACATAGATAATTACACAATTTTTTAATACAATATGTAATAGAAGAAAATTAAGATGATGACTTACTCTCATATTACCTAATCTTCTGGTCCTATCTGCACATAATAACTTCTTTATGAGATCCCTGTTAATATACATACATAAAAACATGTACTTCACTGAATATCGTTATGACATACTTTAAGTATTAAAATGTCAGGAATAGTTTTATTAAAAAGCTTTTTAAAGATAGATAGCTTTTTCATCACATTGGTTTTTTGGGTGTTCTTTTTAAAAAAAATTTTTTTTTAATAAAAATGCTTTAGATGTATATACAAAATTTTGAGTATAAAGCTTGGTTGTTAAATTTTTTTAAAGATTCAGCTAAATCATAACATTATTAAATGTGTATTCCACTCTTATATTGCATAAGCTTGGTCATACGTAATTGTCAAATATCTTAAAAAGTTAATTCTAAATTACAAATATTTTTAACCATGTGTTCAAATGGGGAATGTTGAAAATAAAAGCAATATATGGAACTTTAAGTTGATATAATTTCAGTGGAAAGCCTTACAAATGAAAATGTAGGCCTATGTATTATCATAAATAATAGCCACGTAAAGTGTGAACATGCTCCCACACAGCAGCTATTGAAAAAAAGGGGGCATTACTCTGGAAAGGAAGGTTGTGGAATGCTGAATATCGATAAGGTTCGTCCTCTCATGACTCCAATGATTCACACCAAATTTTAAAAATTGTCATTAAAAACTGTAGCTTCTGTTTGTGGAAAAGGGGAGGCAGAGTTTGAATGGAAGGTTGGTAGGGTTTGGTCTCTCAATACCCCAATGCCTCACACCAAATTGTTTTAAAAATCTTGTTAACAAGGTTTTTGGCAAAGAGAAGGTGAGAGCTGAATGTCAATAGGGTTCGCCCCTTCAAAAGTCCAGTGCTTCACATAAAATTTGAAAAAAAAAACCTGTACTGTAGCCACATGTTAACAACTTTCTATGATGTCATTACTGACTTCCAGTCATTATGTATTTAGTTGGATTAAACAATGTATTCTATAATTAACTATTGTATCTGACACTGAAATGTGGGCCTAAAGAAATCAACAATCACAGGTGTATATTTAAAACACCATTATCAATATTAATGATATTATTTACTTATCAAGTATTTCATGTATACATCACTTACTTTGCTACAGGGTCAATTTGGCGAGGCCAAGCTATCTTTCCAGCTAATATTTTCTGGTATATCCCAAAAGGATTATCATCAAAAAATGGTGGGTATCTAAACAGATTAGATAATCAATAATGTATAAGAGCATAAAATTGTCATAAACTAAACCAGAATTAAGCAAAGAGGAAAACATGAATAAATAAAACATTAAATATTAAAGCAGCATTCCACCACTGTAAATTAATTTAAGTCCTACATAACATGCACAATTACATGGAAAGACATATTTTTCAGAGCTCTTAATTAATTATCAACCATGAAATATATTGAAACTACCAGCAAATATAATGGGCATTTATTGGATCATTCAATAAATCTATCAAAAATTATTTAATTATATCAAACTTTGACGTGAAATCATTGAAATTCCAATTCATTTGTGAGATTGTTAAATGCACCAAAATTTTGCTCAGAACTATAAACCTTCAAATTTGATGCAAAGGATTCCTTTAAATTCTTCTTATTTAGTAAATTTACAGGACTTATTTGGCTTTTCAATATTAAAGATGCATTATGTAAGAGCTAAATCTGCCTAATGCAGATCTTTCATTTGGCCTCAAATGTTCTATAAATCATTAATTAGACATCTATTCACATGCCAGGCTTATAATCAATGCTTTAGACAATAGGATGCTTCTGATTTTCAACAGATTTAAACATGATTGCTGGTTAATCATTTAATTAAAAAATGGATAATCAAGACTTTGTTTAATATCGAAACAATGGTAGCAATGACAATCAAGACTATACTGTTCTTCTAACAGCAATAACCAGGACTGGATTAAGACGCATAGAGCCCCTGTTGGTACCCCCATTATATATATAAACCACAAAATAAATTTGCATTTATCAAAATGAGGTTTATATACGTCATTATTAATTGAGACAAAGCAGGCAAAAGTAAGAAAAGATGAAAACAATGAAAAACTAATTAAAAGTTCTTAATTAATTTTTAAATTAAATATGTTAAATTTGTCAAATCTAACAAAGCAGAAATTCTCTGGTGACCCCTGTCCCATGATGCCCTAAGCATGTGCTTAGTTTGCCCAATGATTAATCCAACCCTGGCAATAACTCTGCTAAAAAAATTTCAACATATTCTTATTCGTTATCTATGTTTGAACTGTTATAGCGAAAACTGTCATCTCTTTATCTAAATCTTACAATATGCACCTTTAATAGTAAGTGCAGGATGACTGCACCACATGCAATTACATAAAACATATCTACAGACAAGACACAACATGCAGAAATTACAAAACAACGTAAATATCAGATTAAATGAATGTATCCGGGGGCTAGCCGTAAACGTCCACTGCACTGTATAGTCCTGGGCCTGTAGTGATACAGACTTCACTCAAAAAGGAAAACTAACAATAAGGAGGAATATATCCCAAAAACATTGTGTACTACTAGTACGAGTCATGATCTGCTATATGCCACATGAAATATGAATGTAAGCATATTGACGGAAAAAATTACCTATACAAGTAACCATATTGGTGAAAAATATAAAAAGCCAAGTAGCTTACAACTAAATGGTCTATGGTATTTATAGTTGCAGCTGACCAAATGATGTTTTTGTTTATATGAAGACAGGCCTTATATTAGAGAGGAAATTTCATTCGATATCGGTTAAACTGTTATAGTACATAAGCAATTATAGGTGTCTTACAAACATGTATTCAAAATTAACCAAAAGAAAAGGCTAGAAAGTGTTCTTAGATAATAATTCAGATGATTATAACCCCCCCAAAATAAGTTGGACCATCTTGGTGGATGGAAATTAGTTATCATTCAGACGATTACAAATAAATCTCTCTGTGAAATCAGTAGAGGGTAATGTGAACTTTAGAAGGTCATCATATGGAAATAAATTTGGAGCTGCAATATCTGAATAATTCATTCTTTTTATTAAAGGAATTCTATATTATAAATGAAAATAGTGATGAAAAAGTGTTCATGATCCATAGAAATAAAAAAAATAACAATTACTTTGTACATACAGACTGACTTCAATGTATCCTTTAGTTGCAGAAGTGAAAAATTTCATTCTTTTACCCAGTAGATTGGTTCATTTAAAATTATAAATATCTCTGGCATAACTAGCCCATGGCAAATTAGATGTTTATCAAGATTAATTGAGAAAAGTTTTATTTGAACTGAATAACTGTAGATTTAGAACCTTTAACATATTATCACACTATTATACAAATGGATGTGTACATGTGCCAACAGCAAGGTGCAAACCAATTGCATATGTATATTTTTCCCCACTCAGACAGAGTATAAGCTATATTTACCAGTCTACATGGTCTATTTATATATTTACTATATGTATAACTTGTTCAACGGCTATAAATAGTTTGCCATGTACATAGAAATCAAATTGATAAAGCACTACAGTGTATAGTCAGCTTGTATCAAATCAATTTATAAAACCTACATTATACAACTTTTTGGCTTTCAACCAACATATAAACTAATTAGCTTTGAATTATTATACTCGTAGTTCAAAAAGTCAAACCAACTCTTGTCATCATTACATGTATGATTTAGGTGTTGAATTGTTAAATAAGGCAGAGGCCTACATACATGACAAATGATAATTTAAAAAACCCTTTCTTTATGTATTTGTAATGTGCATTGAATTTGGAAACATTGTCTATTTATATTACAGTACCCCTTTTTATGTTTGAATGCTTTTAATTCAATTGTAAATATAAGTTTGGTTTTTACAGACTTGTAACAGTGGTATTATTATTGAACACAAGGCTATGGGATTTAACAAGGAGAAGGGTCAACTGCCCAACACCGGTAGTATTCTCCTACATGGGATATGTTTAGCCTCGTTCATCGAGTCGCTTCATACAACTGGCACTCAGAAACATTCTGTTCTACCTGGTCATAGGTAGTAACAAGAATAAATGACAAATTCTTATCCAGTAAAAAAAAAAAAGATAAATGACAAATTAAAAGTATGATAACCTATTTCAATTTTTTTAGAAGCACTGATATCAGATTTAAGTCTAGTTATTGTTCCCAAAATGGAAAAATCAAACTCTGTCATGTAGTTTTATCTATTAGCCTTGAGCTGACATAAACATGATATGACATACCATAAATAATTTTAGACAAACAATTTCTCAGGTGCTAAGATACATGTACTATTATTCAATGCAGATTATCTGGTCTAATAGTACTTAGAAATTTTAGCTGGCATGTACATTAAACAGGCTTATTTAGACGAAATATGTAGGTGCTGATGATTAGACATATTTTATCAAAGAATTTAGAAATGAAATAATAATTTAGCCCAGAAAGTCTAGGCTGGGCTGTGTTCACATTGGTGTATGGAAAAGCAGATACTTAGGGTAATTTGCTTAGGGAAAAAAGCAGGAACATGATCCAACAAAAAATAATTCCAGCAAAGTGCCGGCAAATGGACTAATCGATTTTATCTGCTTGCACAAATTCTAAGCCTTTCAGTGTGGACGAAAAAGCTGATCTGAACCTATGTGCTGATCTCAGCTATAGTTTCATAATTCTTTGAGGCACATGAACTGAAATTTTTGGGAGTAAATGTACTGACACTTTTTTTTCGCTCAGTCATAATATTTATTTGATTTGAAATTGACCTATATAACAATGACACACATATTCACTTAATACCAAGAGATAAAAATTTGCTTCGGTCATTCAATCAGGACATTGTTATACAACATCAAAGGGACATACTCTCCTTCTTTTTTATGTTTTTTTTTTTATTTAATCTTGTTAAATATTGAATTCCTAATGATTTTATTAAAAAATATATGAAATAAATAGGTTTAGTAATTAACAATAAAATGCATTTGTATTCAGAGCTGTCCTATAATTATGCTACTGTACATATTTGAAAGTGTACATATGAAGCAAATGATACCCAGTATGCACAAGTTCTTAACAGAGTTAATTACAATGAAAAAAATAATTATGGAAGAGATAGGATTTAAAAGCCTTCAGACACCCCTTTCTACACTTAAATTCCATAATCATTTTTTTTTCAATGTAATTAATTTGTAATATAAATAAATAATTTTTGGATTTATCTGAATATTTGGGCCTTTAACTAATACCAACATCTCATTACAAGATCTCACCAATTTGAATTTTAGTTCTCCAGGACAATTCTTAAAATTTTGTTCATATTTCTATGAAAAAAAAAAAAAAATTGAAAACACAGATAGTTTGTTTGCTCTTCTCACAAATTTTGAAATTTAAAAAAAAGACAGTACCTCTCTTGAGGCTACGGTTTTCTCATTACCAAGATACTGAAGAACTACACATCCATTTGCTTTTATCCTAAATGTGTTTTCTTAATTACTTTTTAACTGATTTAGCCAAGCAAGAATTCCTAAAGAAAGCTTATAAATAATATTTCAAAAGCTTAAAGTTTGAATCTTTAAATTTGAGTTTATTCACAGTGCTGACAAACCTATTTAAAGTGAGCTACATCAATGTCAATACATCTGTATTTATTTAAGTGACATCATCAGCTGCAAATAAAAAAGGAGTTATTTGATCCACAATGTCAACAATAAATGTGAAGCTTAGAGAAATATTTGTCTATATACATACCCAACCATCATTTCAAATATAAGTACACCCAGAGACCACCAATCTACAGCTTTATTATGACCTTTACTTTGTATTATTTCAGGAGCTAAATATTCGGGTGTACCACATAATGTCCAGGTTCTAAAACAAACAGAAGTAAGGATTTAAAAATAGTATATCTCCAATAGATGTCAGATTTTCCATTCTGAAATATTTTGTCAGACATTCAAGCATTTGAATTCAAATTTGACCTGATCTAGACAATTTTAACGTTTGAATTCAAATTTGTCCTATTTGAACTATTTCAAGTATGACATACCACACTTTTGGCATCACAAGTCTGAGGGAAAACAAACTGAATAAATATCAAAGTTATGAAGCTGATGTCATGATATTTACCTATCTGATACTTTCTTAGCAAATCCAAAATCTGTTATCTTTAAATGCCCATCTGGATCTAGCAGGAGATTTTCTGGCTTTAAGTCCCGATACACAATAGAGTGTGAATGTAAATAGTCTAATGCACAAACTATTTCACAAGAATAAAACATAGATCCTGATACAGTAAATTTGCCTTTGTGACGAAGGTATGTAAATAGTTCTCCTCCTGGCACATATTCCATTAACATATATAGAAAAGTATCAGTATGCCATGCCTTTTGCCTATAATACAAATACATATACCATTATCAAAGATATACTGAGAGTGAGATGCAAATGCAGTTATAACAATTTCATTTCACAGTGAAACTTAGGCACAAGGAGTAAAAATCGAAAAGTCACTGAAATATATCTATAAATTAATTTATGTTAATTGAGAATGCCAATTAGTTTCGGGAAACACAAAACTATAGTGTGGTGTGCCAAGTCATTTAACTATCCAAAATTGTCAACTGTTCTTTTTTATTACAATTATTCAGTTTACTTAATTCTATGTACACAATATGAAAGAGAATTCACCAATAGATGCATCTTTTTGAAAATTATTTTTTGTGTATATGGTGGTTTTGGAGTGTAAATCCAAAAACTGTAAATAGAAAGGTCACATAGTTTTAAAAATTCTATTAGGTATGGACTATGCTCACAAGATGTCATAAATTGAAAGACAAACTCTGTGACTTGCAATTAAAAAATTCTGAATTTCGACAGGGTTAATCCTTTGGCCCAATTGAACAATCCCACAATGTTTTTTTTTTTTTTAGAAAAATGCCATCGAAAAGTTTGTCCTTTGTTGTGTTTACAAGCTTTAAAAGCAAAATATGACTGGAAAGATTAGCAACATGGAAAATAAATATAACCTACAAACAACTCTCACCTGTGGAGTGATCACTAGGATTGGTGACCAGACCACAGGACGAAGGTGACGACAATATACGTCTACATTAAATGCAGGTAAGATAGGTCTACATTAAACTCCGCGTATAAAACGTACATGTATAGTATCAATCAACTATTGAACTATTTGTATAATATTTATGAATACATATATTATGACAGGGTTATCAGCGTACATCATTTCAATTTTTATTACTCCCTTGTATACACTCAATCTTCCATACAAGGCAATATTTGTTTACAATCAGTCTGTCATATTGGTGTGAATGGTATATATTCAAAAGTCATATGCACTTTCAATAGAATCACATTTCCATAGCAGATTTTCTATACCCCTGGTTATAAAACTCTGAATGTTTGAATTTATTAAACTATTATTAACAGCCAACACCATCCGTTTAAATACAAGGTATTTGCTTTATATCCCATAAAATAATTCAAGTTGTGGTTTATGTTTTTTATCTTTCTCACAACTTCCATTTATAAAGAAAATACAATTTTTGTAATAACGTAAAATGAGATATTTAAAGTTCTGTTTAAAGTTTAAACAGAAGTTCAAAATATCTTTAAACTGCTTGGTATAGTGGAAGACAATAAATAGTGTAGTTCTCAGAAATCAGAAAAATCTTCTGACTATCTGTCTCCCAAATAACATTTCTCAATTTATTACATTTGAGTAATTATAAATAGGGATCTGAGATGCAAAAAATGTTCAATTTATCTGTCTGTTGATAAAAATTCTTTGACATCTCCACATTAAAACCCTGAAGGAATTACAAGCAGAGATAGGTAGATACATATACATGTACATATAGATGCATGATACCAATACATAGGTAATCTTTGCAATATTTGCCTCTAGCTCAAAGATGGTACAAAATAAAAGAGCAATTTGCGTCTGACTGAAATCATTATTTATCATTCCTAGACTGATCTAATTACTGTATCCCAAAATTCTATAAGTATCATTTTGTCAGGATTGTTCAATTTGTGCTAAATATTCCAGTTGCTTGTATTAAGCTATCTATAATTAGAAGTGCCTAAAAGTTCATAAAAAAAATCCCACCATACATAGCTAATCATAAATCTAATTAAACAGGCTTAATCAATCTTAGCAAATAATCAAATATTTGTAACGTTAATCTGTTCTCAATCAATACTTACATATTTACAATAAAAGGATGACTGACAGATTCCAGAATTTCTTTTTCATTTCTAATATGTTCTATTTGTTTGAGTCTAACAACATCTGTTATTGACATTACTTTTAGTGCCATATATTCTTTGGTTTCCTTATGTCGGATCTGTACAACACGACCAAATGTACCTGTTCCTGTAATACATATTTTGAAAAATTAAACATTGGTAAATGGTAAACATCATCTGTTCACAATTTTCTATATAAATATCACTGTACCAGTACCTAAAAAGACTAAAATTAGATGGCTAACTAGAGACACCAACTTTCAACTGACAAGATTAAATACACTTGGCAAATTCTACCCTTAAACATAAAGATTATTATTGGAGAAATGACAAAAATCTATTTTTTGATGCTACTAATTAGATCATTCATTTATGTACATGTATAATTAATCATTAATAAAGTGCACACATTATCTCGCTTATTATTTATTTGCCGTCTGTGACATGTTTACAAAGCATTCTTAGAAATAATCTTTTGCTATATTATAGTGTATATAGCCGGATGTAAAGTTTATTCAATGATCACAAAAAGTTCAGGCCTCACATTGAGTTTACTTCAACAGTTAAACAGTTTCAAATTTAAATTTGATATGGTCCTCTCTTATGCCACACTGTCACCTATATTTAAGATTTTGTATGTAGAGAACCTAGTGTTGTGTGGTATTCACAAGATTTTATAGACTTAAATAACTTGGCACTTGGCAATTCAAAATTTCAGAATGTCTTCAAGAACCTTTGTCCTGCATAATGTTCAAAAGATTTTTTAAGTTTGAACATAAATTTGAAAATTGTTCACATGAAATTGTGATGGGCATATAAAAATATCAAACTGTCTCTTTAAGTATACTTTTACATTTTTAGTGATACTATAACTACACTAATTAAACTGCTCCATAAATATGCATTTCTGAAACAAAAAAGATTTAGAATCTATATCTCAAGGCAATATATCATTTTCTTTTTAGTTTATCATGAATAACATAAAAAATATACAAAGAAGTCTGAAATAAAATTACTTGTTTAATAATGAGCAATATAAACTAGTAACAAAAGTATGCCTGATCAATATTTGTCTTGTGCATTAATTTATTTAGTAATAATACTGGCAACTCAGTAGTGAATAATTTGTATTACAGGTTTGGCTCTTTCTTAAAATTCCTTGCCTAATTCAGCATAATTTGTCATTTTATTGCATATAGATGAGTAATACCTAATGGGCCAGCTTACACACAACTAGGTGAAACAGACAGTAAAACTATCATACATGTATCTATTGCAATGCCGGTGAAACAGAAAATATATCATGAATAAAGATCATTAAAGTGCTTTGAAATGAAATGAAATGAAATGGGGTTTAACGTCCTACTGTTCTGCTCCTAACCTGGGCTAATGAAGACAGGCATACGCCATACAGTGTGCTATGAGGGAAATTTTGCCCGGGCAGCGACGCTATGGCCTACTCTTATATCGAATTCCAACTGCCAAGGGATCTTTTATGTGCATTCCAATTTATACACAGGACCTCGGTTTTTCGTATCATCCAAAGGACTAGACAGCTGCCCTTGTCAGGCCCTCAGTTTTGCACCACTGACAAGGGGAAACCACGTCGGAAAATCCAGATGAACTTTATTGGCCAATGCAGGGATCCAACACCCGACCACCAAGATAGCAAGCCAACGTCTTAACCACCTAGCCACCGTGGCTCCTAATGCTCTTTGAAAGCTGCTTTGAAAGTGAACAGTAATTATATATACATGTAATATCAACAAAATATTCAGTATGTAAAGATCTACCTTCAACAATTTTAAGTATACCCTGTTATCAAGTTACATATAACTTTATCTTAAGTTGAAATCTCTTGCTAACTACAATATTTGTAAAACATGAAAATGTTATAGAAATATCAGCGCAAAATGGATTAATTCTATTCGGTATTTACAAAGATATAATAGACAATTTGTCAGCATTCGGAATCCTCTGCAGACAGTATAAACAGGATATGGTCAAAAGCCAGTGCCACCTATAATCTTCGCTAGTCTTCTGATAGACCTCCTTTTAATCTGATTGAATCCAAGTCGGGATATTTTGTTTTCTTAATTAAATGCTAAATAACTGATTTGCAAATGATACACAGACAGAGATATTAATTATTAACATGTTCAAAATTATATCAAAATTGTATTCATTTTCTTTCCCATTTTTAGACCCAGTTTGTGCCTTTATTATATTTAATCAGATTTATATTAAAGTTATTTTAAATTCTGTAAATTTAATCATGTGGCCACAAAATTGGGTTTTGAATCCGTCCACTACTTAAATTAATATTAGTACAGAGAATATATACATGTAGGTTACCTCTGCCAAGATATAGTGTTAAATTTAATTAAATGTTGAAAGACAGATTCTAATATTCACTGATCAAGGCAGAGAAATTTAAAACAACTAAAATACATTACTTTGTCCTTTCTCTAATCTATCACATTACTTTTCAAAATACAATTTCCAAAGACAATTATCTCCAACAACTCACAGTGAATATACAGTAAAACATGTATATCATATCTAGTTCCCTTTTATCAAAGGAATATAAGGTCTTATGGACCATTCCAATTACCACAACACAACTTAATATTTATCTGTAACAAAACGTGTTTCTTAACTATTAATGCAAATATCCTACAAACTATAGGTCCCTGTGTTTAAACAATGTAAAGCTTTCTTAAATAACCGAAAAGCACATGCAAGTTAAAAATAAAATATGTACAAAATCAGTTATATATACTGTTATCACATTAATTGTAATACTGTTATCAACATTTTAAAAGGTTTTTTTAAAAATGATAATGTATCTCAAAAGTATGGCTGGGCATCAATAAATTTATATTGTCTATAAATAAATGTTACTGTTATTGGTGTGTGACATTCATAAAACTGATTTCTTCTTCTTGTCTTTCTTACAGAAGCATGAGGTACATGTACTCTAATCAAAAATTAACTTTTTCAAAAATACTTTACTTTTTCAACATGCACGTAATATTCATTAAATGTTTATGGTCACCATTCTGTCTATGTATAATTGACCTATAATCCTTTTTATGATAGAACATATCTATAATTTTAAAGGAGCTAAATTGCTAATATTTGGGACTAGAAATTGACACAAATGGGTCGCAACACATATAATAATGTAATAAGATAAGATAAGATAAGATGTTATATAAACTGATTTACATTCAATCGTTTCTGTTTTTACACTAATTTTAAATCAGTTATGTTCGTCAAAATATGCCAGAAGTCTCAATCAAATGGCAATCTGTAGCACCTGGTTATTCCAGTCTACACTGATAGTATTCATTCCGCATGCTCTCCAGATAAGAATATGAGGTCACCGTTTGACATGACTTGTGGAATATGTCTAACGTTGTTCTTCGAGCCCCTTGTTACAAATGGCACTGAAACGCATATGGTACACGATTTGTGTACCAATGGTAAAATGTTTATTTTGTCTTAATATTGGATATCAGAAGCCCATCTTTTCCCAACTTCAATTTTGATTTAAATTGACAAATAATTTGTGTTTTCAATGTCGAAGACTTTGGATGATATTAAGTTTGAGACTTACACGTAGCTTTAATATATCATTATTGAATATTATAAGTTATTTTGCATCTTCAAACATTGTTATAATAAATAACTGTGTATAATATATTGGCTGCTAATAATGTGGGTTAGTACTGAAAGTTATTATTATAACGGGATAAAATGATAACGGTACCTATTCAAAATAAAAAAAAAACCATCTCGATAATATGCTTACCAACAGTTGATAGTATTTTTAAATCATCTAAATTTTTATCTGTTTTATTAGCATCCTCTTCACAGTTTAAAGGAGAATCTTTCTGTATAGATTCTTTCCGTTTAGCTTTGGCAACTTTAGCCGACGCCATTTTCTCCCTTTTACTTTTGGCGTAGATTTCTACATGTAAATAGAATCCAAGACGATATCCAAATCGTGGGTCATAAACAGTTAACGCTTTTCCGCGAGTTCTGAAGCGGCATTTTAGGTTTATCTGTCTTCAGTCATCTAATGATTTCATACCGTTGTAACTTTCTAGACAAGCATACATCGCATAATTAGTTTAATAATGTTACTGTTACTAATTATGTAATTGGATATACTGGTACCGCTATGTTCCTGAGTACATAAACTCTCCTTGTATACGATCAAAGTTCTTTCTGGTTAATCACAGTGTTGGCAATATACGAGTAAATTCGTCTGCTTCCCTTTGAGCAGGTGCTCGCGCAGGCGCCTCGTGTATTGATTTTCTTGGGTATCCAGCGTGTCTTTGGCCATTTACAACGTCCACTCGACACAAACTAGGTCATTTCGGGACCAACACATGGTTTGATTTTATTTCTATAATTCGCTTGACGGTAGGGGTCTTTAGCAGTGGGAGGAAACCGGGGGACCCGAAGAAAACCAACGAGGTTGTACAGGCGACCCTACCCCTTGTCACGTACAACCGGGGATTCGAAACCACGTCAGTTGACTCAATGACAGGCCTTATGTTTTCCACTGCTATAAAACCACAGGCGTACGCGTCAGGGGATCGGGGGATCGGGGGAAGCTGCCCCCCCCCCTAATTTTCGGTCAGTCTTAGTTAAAGGCTCAATACCACACTTGTGGTAACTGAATAATTCGTCCCAATCTTTATTCTGGTCATCAAATTGTACTATTTTACAACATTCCAATTATTTGATGATACAAATTTCATCTTAACACACCTAATTTAAAAAATTGGAAAAATTCAACTAAATGATTTGAAAAGCCTGACGTAAAGCTTTTCAAATGTGATTTGGATCTAAAAATATTTTTGAACCCTCTGGACAAGTAAAATAGGATTTAATGGATAATTTACACAACAGGTAGGACACTAACACATCTAGTACTTAGAATAAGGCTATTTTTTATTTTCTGGAGCTGTCAAGCCAGCAAGAGTGTTATTGTCCCTTTAATCTGACTTTTCGGGCAGACGGGTAAAGTGAAAACAAAAACTATTATTTCATCTATAGTTGGCAAAATAAAGTGCCCGAAATCTAATAAAACACTAAATTTACTTTTCTTTTAATTGAATTCGACGAATTTGTACTGAATTTACTATCTGGAGCTACGTACTTTGTGCGACACTTTTCGGGCATCGATTATCATTTGAGAATATATATAGCTGCAACAGTCTGATTGGATTATTGGAATTCAGGTCGGCATACAGTGGGATTTCGGTTGCAACCCGATTGGAAATTTTAAAGTTGCTTAATTTACGGGCTAGAATATCAGAAAAAAACGAATTTGCTGCGGTTAAATTTTCAAAAATTTTTCGGGGAGCGCGAATCCCCCATACCCCGCGATTGGTTGTTTTGGGATTTGGGATTCGGGTAAGTCATGAAGGTAGGCTACATGTATATTGGACCTCACTGAAGTTGCTGTATTCGCGGACTGGAATAGCTGGAAAACGGGTTTGCGGCAGTTAAATTTTCAAACACTCATCGAGCTCATACGCCTATGCATCACGGGACAATTTTATGTATAAATTTATCTGATATTTTTAGATTTATCTTGGTAAGAGGACACGTGAAACACCCTTCATAAAAGGCTTCTGGTTATTAAAGAATTTAAAAGTCACGTCATAATCCAAATTTATAAATAATGAATTTGTTTATCGTTGATGGTATATACTTATATACGTATAAAATTTCTCACACCCTCTTCTTTGTATTATATATTATTATTATTCAACAAGGACGTTACTCAAATATTGGTCTCTATCATCCAGAGAAATATTGTACGTTGAAGACCAGGAGGTTATAGGTGACCGACACTACTCAAATATCTATTTTATTTTACACACGTGACGGCGTGCAAACCACTGAAGTGTTACAATAGTTACACAGAAATAGAAGATGTCAAAACAACCGACTATCACGATTCGCGCCAGGAAAACGCGTTTGCGACCGTCAAAATTTCCAAATTCTTTTCTTTTTTGGCGGCGGGGGTTAGGGGTGAGTTCCTATACATCGTCTGTAACCCGAAATTTTTTCAGGCAATTTAGATTCTGCCCCTCCTCCTCCCCCCGCCCTAACATTCATCGAGCCCGTACGTACGCCTATGTAGAACCGGTACTTCTAAGGTGTTATCTAGCATTTATTTATTCGTTTTAAAGTAAAGGATAACTAGCTGTCTTCTTTTCTACAAAATATCCTCTTTCACGATTGCATGATTGAAGTGAAACGATATCAAGAACTGTACGGAAATGCGACAAATGTGTACCACTGAATTAATTAGATGTCAAGCCGTCGCATATGAAAAGAATATTGGGCATATTTCTTGTAGATTGATCAAATTAACAGTGTGCCAAATATATTAGGTTATGTCAGCTTGTCAAACGTTGAGCATCAAATTAAACCACCCGAGTTGTATGGGCTGGAGGAATTATCAGATAAATTCAATCATAATCAATATAGAGCCTTCCGGTGGCCGAAACAGTTGTCTTTGATGACCTCTCTGAATGAATAGGCAAACCAAGAATTTCACACGTTCAAAGCCACTTACTTATTTTTGGCGGGAAAATAATTGTCACTCTGAATTACTATGGACCTTATAAGTTAATCCATGGTTATGGCCTTTATTGCCATTGGCCGTTGTTCAAACCAACATATGTGGACTTAACACTTTTATATCATTTATTGATAATTCAAATGGCTATCTAAATTAAGATTTGAAAGTCGGGTCTGATTAAGGCACGGGCCAACTAGGCCATTCCCTAGAGTAGGCTATACAGTTTTGAAATTTTGATATTTTGTATTTGATGGATGAATTGATGTCTGTGTAATAGGCACCATGAAATATGTTGGCTTAGGGCCCCACGAAACTTTAATCTGGCTCTGTTTGAAAGTGGAACTGATGAATCGGTGAAATGGCAATATGGCATGAAGCAGAGACTGCCAATGTTCGGTAACCATAACATGTTGGTGGACCGTGTGCTGAAATAGGGGTCTCAGCAGCTAAAGGGAGGTAATGACTAGTTGAATTAAGCTCTTCAATAAGTGAGGAGAAATTAGTCTATGCATTAGATTATTATTATGATAACTTTAATGAATGAAATGTCAACACATTGTCAATTGCACCTGTGAGGTTTTTTTTCATCCCGAGTGAGTATTATTAAGGATATGTTGGCACTTTTGTACTCGAGCTAGAGACTGAAGTCGATCGAGACGAACAGTAACGATAAAAAGGAACGAGACAGGGTGAGGTCTTGATGAGATGTCTTTGAAGTACCCGGTACCGTAAATAGTTCCTTTACTACAAGAAATGTCTCTGATTCTGAATCAGACGATGTCCGCTGACAGTTCCTATCCCTCCCTATATAGCTGGGTGAAATACGGTTCTTCCCCATCTCTGTTCTCGGGCTATTTTAGAACCCTTACCTTCTCTTTTTCACTGTCATTCTTTATTTTTCTGCAAAAGGAATCATTTCTCACCATAATTATTTTTCACTGTGATATAAATAATAATTCAACACTATTTTCAAGTAGTATTTAGCAATTAAATAAACATGTAGTCTGCGCATGTTTGAGTCTCGTAATGGCTGATCAGTTCAAACGTATTTTGTGCATGGTTTTAATTGCAAAATTCTACTTGAAAATAGTGTTGAATTATTATTTATATCACAGTGAAAAATAGTCGGTAAGGATTCCAAAATAGCCTAAGAGCAGAGGTAGGGAAGAGCGGTATTTTTAAATTACAGCTATATATTGAAACTGTCAGCGGACATCGTCCAATCAGAGACAGATTCTAAAGGAACTATCTTTGAAATCTATGAACTATCGATTGCCAGTTATTCAATTTCCTCAACAACCATCTACAATTTAGCATAGCCTACAGGTGTATAATCCTAGCTGAGACATCTCTCATATAAGTGTTGCAACGATATTGCTAAAACAAATCATCGCGATGATTAGAGTTATCTTTTCTTTCAATGACATCTAGAAGCACCGTTAACTATTCATAACAAAACACAACACAGGTATATATGGATGTAACTACTTCTCTATTATTTAATAATGACGTTTCGTAACACATACAGGTCACGTTTTCAAGGATGTTTCATTAACTTGAACCTGTCCAACCACGTGGGTTTTCTCCGGGTCCTCCGGTTTCCTCCCACTGCTAAAGACCCCTACGCGCAAGCGAATTATTGAAATAAAATTAAACCATATGTTAGTCCCGAAATGACCTTGTCTGTGTCGAGTGGACGTTAAACCCCATTTCTCTCTCTCTTTCATTAACTTGAAAACGTGACAGGTATGTGTTACAAAATCGTTATTAAATAATATAGAAGTAGTTACATCCATATACATGTATACCCTGTGTTGTGTTTTGTTATGAATAGAATTATCTCGTTTTAAAAAATTAATTATCATGATAATTACTGATGTAAAATCGACATAACTTGTGATGTATAAATGGATTAATTTATCGAGTGTATTTGTTTGGTATTTAGCAATGTATGTAAGTTGTATTGATGAAGTGAGACGTATATGCTGGGATAAGAATATTCCCTTAGGTATTGGCACCTCAAATCATTCTATTCGGGTCAGGATGTTCTTTTTAAACCAAATGTTCCCATACAACAAACGAGTGTTCTTTTTAGGTTTCAGCTGCAGTGTATTTTCGTATTTTCAAGATCGAAAGCCATATTATTCAAAAAATAAAAGCAATGTTGTCCATACAATTTTACTATTTAAAATATCAATATAGTTTTCAACAGGCTGGGTAATCAACGATAAACCACCACTTTGTTACTATGGCGATGTGTATTGTCGCGCGCAGTTTAACTGTATCATTCTGAGTCAGGATATCCTTACCATTATCAATTATAATTATAAATATTGTGCATGCTTTCTAAAGTTCTAAAGTGTAGCGGGGGGTTGGATGGCTGAATGGTTACCGTGCGCGCGCTTTATCCTAAAGTCTGTCATTGAGTCGACTGGCGTGGTTTTGAATTCCCAGTTGTACATGACAAGGAGTAGGGTCGCCTGTCCAACGTCGTGGGTTTTCTCCGGGTCCTCCGGTTTCCTCCCACTGCTGAAGACCCCTACGCGCAAGCGAATTATTGATATAAAATTAAAAACCATATGTTAGTCCCAAATTGACCTAGTTTGTGTCGAGTGGACGTTAAACCCCATTTCTCTCTCTCTCTCTCTTCTAAAATGTAGCCTACACGTGTGTGATAAATGATTGATATTATTCGGTGAAATGTACTTGAACATGAGACCAGCGTCAGTTGAAATATATGTCTATCTCCCATAGATCTTGGTTCCTTTCGATATTGGCATGTATTGGACCATAACTTCATGGATTATGGCCCCTGATAGTACGAAAAATCACGTTTTTAGCTTGTGGACACTCTGAGGTCGCAATTTTCATCCGAAACTAAACTGCCCAACAAAATGGTCGCTCTTTATATGCAGTTTGTGTAAAAGTATGTAATGCGAAGGTTGTGGATCCTCTAGAGGTCACAATTTTTATGTGATTTTGATGAAACTTAAAATATATCTTTATATTTAAAAAATCTCAGCCCCTTTCGATATTTGCACATTTCAGACCATAACATTCTGGATTATCGTCCCTGATTGTACGAAAAATGCTTTTGTTTTTAGCTTGTTCTCCATCCATCTCTTGCAAAATGTGGGCGTATCTTACCTGGCAAGCACTGGTTAATTTAAAATCTTAATGTGTTTGTGTCAAAAGTTGTAAACAAGGGACATAACTCATGTATTGCACGAAATATCATTTTGAAGAACATTTTTGAAACAAAATCGTTACGATTTTAAATTAAAACTACCAATTTGGCAACAGTCAAGTATAGATATAAATTATTATTATACGAGTTGAAATAATAGTGGATTTAGGTAAATCATGTTACCGGTTCGTAGTGCAATTATTGCACTTTCGCACCCTACCACTTTCGTTGTCATGAAGGTTAAATGATGATAATACTGATTAAGAATTAAAGTTGCAATTTCATATTTTTACGTTATATTTTTAAAATTTATTAAAATAAAGCCTTAAAATAGATGGTATCTATAAACAGTCCTACCTTGTTAAAGAATAATCCTATTAATCCTATAATTCACTATTGCCAGTTGAGAAATTGGCAAAAATATCATTTTCCTCTTCAAATTCAAACGTTTGAGGATAGCTATGGTGGAGAATAGAAAACAAGGGTGGTAATTGTGTTATTATTTCTGGTGTAAATGAGTTTTAAGTGTGAGAATGACACCTATGATCGTATGATAGTGAGTTGACAACCTATTGAGCAAAAGACATAGAAATAATTATGTTTTGACTTTCTTAGAAAATATGAAATTGTAACTTTAAATTATAGTAGTATGAAATATATTATTATATGTAATTACAATATTTACATGTATATATTGACTTTTTGTAGATCACTATACCAAAGAGGTTTAATTAAGTCATTTGGTTTGTAAGGTTTGAGAAATGGAGTCAAATGATTTAAATTTAATGCCAGATCCAATTATTCTAAAAGAGGAAGACTTGGATCTTTTACGTCAAGAAAGACAAGAAAGAGTGAAATCTGCTATGAAGGTACTTTATTAAACATGCATTATGCAAGAGCAAAATCTGCTTATTACAAGTCTTTCTTTAGGCCTGAAATGTTATCTAAATTATCAATTAGACATTAATTAACTTATCCAGACCATAATAAACTCTCGATGTCAAGGCTAACCTTCGATGTAGGCTGGATTAGATTCCTATATGCCGCTAATGGCCAAAGATAATTAAATCAGAAAAAGCGGATAATCAAGACTATGCTGTTTATATTAATGATTTTAGTAATGATAACCGAGACTATGCAAAAATTTCACCGGCTTCTTTCTCGGCTCATAGTGGATCAATTTGACTGAAATTTTCAGCAAATTACCTTCACACTATCTAGTTTTTAACTATTATAGCGAGAACTGCCATCTCTTTATCTTATCTCCCATAATGTATCTTTAAGTAAATAGATTTTTGCAAATAAATATGTAAGAAACAACCAAATTTGTTTCTAAAACTTTAAAAGGGAAGTAATGCCAAGTAAAATATCTAGAACACAACTAAAGTTCCTGGCAGTACACTCAGGTTATAGTTATACTTTGATTTTATTTATAAAAAAACATTTCATTATATAGTGGTATACCCCCACATTGAAATGTGGTCTTATAGTAGTGTAGGTGATGAGTCAAAGGATCCTAGTCATTTTCAGCGATTTCCAATAATTACTGCCAGAGTTATGGCTCTTGATCACTTTGAAAAATCTTGTGGTCGCTCTACAGGCTAAAGTTGATATTTGATTGACTTTAAATTTATACACAGTGTTTAAGGTCATGAGACGAAAAAACCTATTGATTTCAAACTATTTTTGATAATTACCGCCAGAGTTATGGTCCTTGACCTTTTTGAAAAATCTTGTAGAAGCTCTAGAGGCTAAAGTTAATATCCGATTGACTTTTAATTTATACACTCACAGTGTTTAAGGTCATAAGACGAAGAATCCTTGATCACTTTGAAAAATCTTGTGGACACTCAGAGGCTAAAGTTAATATATATTGTTTAAGGTCATGAGACAAACAAAATCAAAAGATATTCTAAAGATTTCTATTAATTACTTAACAGGTTATTACTTGTAATCAGATTTTCATGTGCTGTAAATGGTCTCATTACTGACAAAAAAAATATGTGTGACAACTGCCCATACAACTTAGCTGCTGTGGGCATATGTTTTGTTGCCCGGCAACCTATCTTTATCTAGAGAGAAACTATGTTATTTTATGTCTATATTTCTTTCTTTTATTTTAGGAAGCTAATCCTCGAATAATGAAACAAATATTGCCAAAGGTAAGAATCATATTATATTTCGTTTCATACATTTTACAACACATAATTTGTTATATTTACAGTATAACTGATTTGTCATTCATTAACATAATTACATCACTCCAATAAACTTGAGTTACCTTCATGATCAAATACAATCGTGACGTCAAGGCGCAAGGGCATTTTGATGTGGTTGGTCTTTTCTGTCAATTTCCGAAACCAATCAACAGCTTTTATTATATTAGTAGGTGTATTTAACAGAAATAAATCAAATAAGTAAATATTTCAAATACATGCAGTGTAAATATAAGAACTGACTTTTTGAGATTTTCTGGTATATTACATGTAGGTCTCATATATCAGTAGGTCCTGCACCAAACTTTACATTATCCGCTTCACATAAAGAACTCAGTTCTTCAATAGAAAGTAATTAAATTTATACTTTTAAAATGGCTAGGACTGCCTTGGTCCAGGTCAACACTCTAATATAATATAATATAATCAATTTTGTCTTCAACTGTCGACGCAGTAAGGTAAACTTAATCTAAAATTAGAAAACAGGCTATTGCTTAATTCATTCCTAAATATTTCCATTCCTTTGTTACTTATTTCAGTCATTTAACTAATTCGTGAGTCGGATGTGATTTGACAATTTGATGAGGCTTGTTAATATTAGTCTGTGCTCTCTAAGTTGAAATTACAGTCGCTGATTTATTTCCAAGATACAGACAGGGAAATGTGCCGTGGTATTTTAGATGTACCAGACGGAAATATTTAGATAATTTAAAGAAAATGTAGCTCAAGATATCCCACTAGATTTGATTGAAACATTAAACCGTCTCTCTTTGTTTTCTCTGTGTATATATATTTACATAGTTATTTCTTTAAATTTCAGGAGAAACCTTTGAATGCATATGATGATGCCGCTGTCTGTATACAGAAACATTACCGTGGTTACAGAGGTCGTAAACAATATGAAGAAAAACTGTATAAACTTTTTACAGAGGTTAGTGATCAAAGATTTTTTTTAAAGTAGCTAAGTCTTTAACTAAATATCATCCACTGTCTTCAACACTGAAAACACAAATTATTTCTCAATTTAAAGTAGCTAAGTCTCTAATTCAATATCATCTAAAGTCTTACACGTTGAACAAGGCTAGACATATTCAACAAGTCATACGTCATATTCTTATCTGAAGAGCATGTGCAATAAATACTATAGGTGTAGACTGGAATAACCAGACGCTTATGGAAGGGTATCTCTGCCAATATTAAATGCTCTGCGACAATGTCGTTTCCATTGATTATATGTAAAAAGTAAAATGTACAAAGTCCTAATACTGGTAATGATAAAGTCAAAATACCTCTAAGGCAAGAGTTAAATGTAAAATTTCAAATGTAAGTGTTAAATGACAAATGTTTTGTGGGAAAATGCTTTTTTTGACATGTCTACATTTTACATTTCTCTCATTACATATTACATTTGCGCTCTGCCACATCCCATTTGTCCTTCACACTTTCTACATAGCATCTTTCACACAGCATCAACTTTCATATGCAAATGACTTATTAACATATACGGAAACCAGGCGCACTATAAGCCAGAACAAGGATATTCACGACACTATAACAGGAAATCAGCCAAGCACACAATAAGAAATTTAATTACCTTAACACTTTGGATGTCGGTCGGCAAAGTCGCAAATAAAATTTGATTTTCGAGATAATTTTGGCAATGATGTTTTGCGGTGCTGGCGATTCTTTTTGAGAACTGTCGGAAAAAAATCTTAAAATTCTAATCGTATTTATCCTGGATTAACCATTAATTGAGTGTCAATCACGTGGCGAAATACTATAAATTAATCAACGGGCTGATAATCTGGATTGCGTCAATGAGAATTACTAATCAGTGGTCTTGCATTAATGATTAGTTGATTGATAATTGCCAATGATGTATATAAAGCCTATCTCAAGTCATTATTTACTCCTAATGATTAATCCAAGCGGTGATTATTTGATGTTTCGTTTCGTCTTAAAAAAAGGTAATCATCTAATCAAAATGGCCGACAGTTCCTTTCGAAGAGAATTAAATATTTTGATAATTGAATTCCGTTTACTGTGGCTTCATATACGGCATGTAAGATATACAGGCATGCCGATCTGATTTCATTATTTCAAATTATATTATCACCACTGATTGAAAACGTAAGAACGAGTTGAATAGCGATGATTCTTGAGCGAGAAATCAATTCGCCGTATGTATCATATTACCGTGGCCAAAATGATCTAAAGGTGAACGACGGGTATAATTGTAAGCATCTCTTAACAAATATAATTGAAATTATATCATTCTATCAGAGATTTAGATTCTGATACCTTTACGGTACCTGAAAATAACTATTGGCTTATTGTACACGCAACACATAAATTTATAGAAAATTGGCAATCCTTGAATGAGATATGACGTGTAAATACTGAAAACATATTGTGCAGTATGGTGTTCAAATAGACTAAAGTCACCCCCAAAAAAATCTGATCTTATTAAATCCAAACTGTGCTTATGTATTATATACAGACAGATTTTTAAAGTTGTTGTATATTGTATTGTATATATCAGTAAATGTTTTATAATAATTAATAAGCCTAGCCGAGACATAAAATTGTTAGATGCTGTCTTTTTTATCACACATTTTTGGCAGAAAAAATATTCCAGTTGGCGGAAAAAAAATCTAATCATTTTTTTATATAAAAATTATCCATTTTAGTGGAAAAAAATCGAAAGCCAGTGTGAGCCCTGTACTTTACCATGATTACGGGGCTGTGCAATGTCCAAATAGGAAATCCAGGTATCATGTTACATATTAGTGAAAAGCATGTTCATTTTTGTTTGTAAATATGTAAATAATTTTCTAGTACAATCGTATTTTCATAATTAAAATCCAATAAATATCACGCTATTAAAGGGGTATTCAAGTCAGAATACTGGTCTAAATACGAAATTCCAGATACCATGTTAGGTTTCACTGATTGCTCTTTTCAAATACCGGTATGCAAATAAGATTAAAGTTGAAGAAATTCCAGTTATTGTGTTAGAAATTACTGGAAATTATGTTTCTTTGGCTCTTTGAATCTATCAATTATTTCCTGGCACATTCATGATTACGCACGGTCGTCTATAATAGTTTCTTATAGTGTGCCAGCTTGATTTACTGTTATCGTGCAGTGAATATCCTTATAGTGTGCTGGTTTAATTTATAGTGTGCTGGGTTTCCGTATATGTTAATAAGTCACGGGATATCCTACATTTACATATGAAAGTTGATGCTGTGCGAAAGATGCTATGTAGAAAGCGTGAAGGACAAATGAGATGTGGCAGAGCGCAAATGTAAAATGTAATGAGAGAAATGTAAAATGTAAACACGTCAAAACATTTTGTCATTTAACATTTGACGTTTTACATTTAACTCTTGCCTTAGAGGTATTTTGACTTTATCATTACTGGTATTAGGACTTTGTACATTGTACCTTTTAAATATAATCAATGGAAAAGACATTGTCACAGAGCATTTGATATTGGCAGCGATACCCTTCCATAGGCGCTAGGGATTGCTATTCGATTCGAGACTTCTAGCGTGTTTCGCCGAACATAACTGATTAGAAATTACAGTAAAAACAGAAACGCTTGAATGTAAATCAGTTAATATTCATTCATAATATAAGAGATAAGGTGGCTATGGAGACCTGGTTATCCCGAATGTCAGTGACTAGTTTCGTTCGTATTGAACTCTTCAGACTGATTGGACTCACGTGTTGGGCGTCCAGAGCCGATCGTGTTGATAAGAATCTGCTTATTTGACATTGACATATAACCGAAGGTGAGTAGGCCTACTCGTCCAGTTCACACAACGGACAGTCTCGGTCCACAAAAGAGAGACACATATTAGTCGCCTCCAACTTCCGATTTCCAAGGCATTCTAGTCTAAACCTTGACTCTCACACCAATAAACCATTTGGTACTATTTCGTACCTATTTCATATTAAACCCCTCGGACGCCATGTTGAATCACACAGTATTTAACGTTCTAAAACCTAACTACTTCATGGAATCAACGACAAATCTAAACCTGGGCACTCCAACCATTTTTATTTTTGTATCACAATAATATACATTCATATTACATTATTATATGCGTTATGATCCATTTGTGTCAATTTCTTGGTTCCAAATATTAGCGATTTAGCTCCTTTAAATCAACATTGATATAGTGATCTTAACGGGAAAAGATGGTCTTCTTATATCCAATATTTAAGACAAAATAAACATTTTACCATTGGTACATGAATCGTGTACAAGAATGCATATTGGCGCCATTTTTAACAAGGGACTTAAAGAACACGGCTAGACATATTCCACAAGTCATGTCAAACGGTGACGCCATATTCTTATCTGGAGAGCATACACTATAAATAATACTGGTGTAGACTGGAAAAACCAAACGCTGGAGATTGCCATTCCATTGAGACTTCTGGCTTATTTCGCTAAACATAACTGATTTGGAATTAGAGTAAAATGCAAACGATTGAATTTAAATCAGTTTATATACATTCATATTCCATTATTATATGCGTGGCGACCCATTTGTGTCAATTTCTAGGTCTTAAATAGTAATGATTTATCTCCTTTAACAATTAAAGATTATTTGTCTGAAACTGCATGGTAACAGTTTCCAATATTAACTAAATGATTTAGCAATAATAAGTGCAGAACTTTCTTACTGTCATCATTACTGTAAAACCATAAGAGATTTTGTATTTTTATATTCACTTCCATAGGATCTTTCAAATACAGCACCCATCACAATATCAGTACAAAGTGACATGCAAATTCAGGCGAAATAGACAAAATCACAAGTAGTATCTTCTTTGTGAAGTAGTATCTTCTTTGTGAATACACAATAAATTTGCATTTTATTTGATTGAGAAATATAGAAACCCTATTCTAGTAGAAAGAAATTTTATAACATTATTTTATTTTTGTATATTTTTTTTTATAGGAAGAAAATAAGAAATTTTATGACATTATTTTATTTTTGTGTATTTTTTTATAGGAAGAAAATAAAATAGCAGAAAAAATGAAACAACAAGTGAAAGAAGGGGAATTGCTTGTTGATAGGTAAATATACTTTATAATCTGTTTAGAAAGTGGCTTAAATTTGGAATTTAAAATCTTCAGTCTTGTACTATAGCTAGAACCAAACCATATCCATATACTTCCAAGAAAAAAAAATGCTGGAGTAGTACCAGTACTAGTAGTAATATTATCGCAGCATTATGGTGGACTATGTATTGTTATCATTCAGGAATTTAACAAAATTTCTTTAAAAACCTAAATAAACCGAAAAGAAAATGAAAAACAAAGTCAAAATCAAAAGAAAAAGTATAAATCAAGAGCAAAAGTTAAATCAAAAGCTAAAGTTAAATCAAAAGCAAGAGTTAAATCAAAAATAAAAATTAAATCAAAAGTAAAAATAAAATCAAAAGTAAAAATAAAAGCGAAAGTAAAAGTTAAATCAAAATGTAAATTAAAGGGGCATTATTGAAGATTAGATAAAAAACTGACAGTTCTTGCTATAATAGTTAAAAAATAATAAATAGTCTCCCTCCTTTTTTATACACCCACATTTTCTTGTGGATGTGTATTGTCGTCGCCCCTGTCCGTGTGTCAGTCTGTTGACATTATGCTTGTGGACACTGTACAGGTCACAATTTTATGGATTATGGTCCCTGATTGTACGAAAAATCGCATTTTTAGCTTGTGGTTCCTCTAAAGGTCACAATTATTATCCGATTTAAAAAAGCGTTTAAATATATCACCATTACACAGTAATGGTGCTTGAGTTCGCTCCTCGTATGCAAATAGTGTAAAAATATGGTATATCAAGGTTGTGGACCCTCTAGAGGCCACAATTTTGAGCTAATTTTGATGAAACTTGAAATACATATTTATAACCCAAAGATCTTGATTCCTTTTGATATTTGTGTATATCAGATCGTAACTTCCTGAATTATGGCCCTTGATTGTACGAAAAATCGCAAATTTAGCTTGTGGTCCCTCTAGATGTCACAATTTTTACCCGATTGAAAAAAACGTTTGAATATTTCACCGTTACACCCTAATGATGGTTGAGTTCGAATTTTGTAAAAACCAGACCAAAACTGACAAATAAAATGGCCTCCCCTTGTACTCAAATAGCGTAAAAATATGATATATCATATCATGATTTTGGCAATAATGTTTTGCGGTACTGATGATTCTTTTTGAGAACTGGCGGAAAAAAATCTTAAAATTCTAATCGTATTTATCCTGGATTAACAATTAATTGAGTGTCAATCACGTGGCAGAATACTAATATAAATTAATCAACTAGCTGATAATCCGGATTACGTCGATGAGTAATACTAATCAGTTGTTTTGAATTAATGATTAGTTGATTGATAATTGCCAATGATGTATATAAAGCCTATCTCAAGTCATTATTTACTCCTAATGATTAATCCTAGCGATGATTATTTGATGTTTCGTCTCGCCTTTAAAAAATGGTAGTCCATGTAATCAAAATGGCCGACAGTTCCTTTCGAAGAGAATTAAATATTTTGATAGTTGAATTCCGTTTACTCTGGCTTTATATACGGCATGTAAGATATACAAGCATGCCGATCGGATATCATTATTTCAAATTATATTATCATCACTGGTCGAAAACGTAAGAACGAGTTGAATAGCGACGATTCTTGAGCAAGAAATCATTTTGCCATATGACGTATCATATTAATGTCGCCAAAATGATCTAAAGGTGAATGACGGGTATAATTGTAAGCATGTCTTACAAATATAATTGAAATTTATATCATTCTTTCAGGGATTCTGATTCTGAAAATAACTGTAGGCCTATTGTATACGCAACACATAAATTTATAGAAAATTGAATGAGATCTGACGTGTAAATACTGAAAATATATTGTGCAGTACGGTGTTCAAATAGACTAAAGTCACCCCCAAAAAATCTGATCTTATTGAATCCAAACTGTGCTAATGTATTATATACAGAAAGATTTTTAAAGTTGTTGTATATTGTATTGTATATATCGGTAATTGTTATTATAATATTAATAAGTCTAGCTGAGACATAAAATTGTTAGATGTTTTTTTTTTTATCACACATTTTTGGCAGATAAAATATTCAAATCCGCAGAAGAAATATATGAACATTTTTATACGCCCACATTTTCATGTGGACGTATATTGTCGTCGCCCCTGTCCGTTTGTTTGTGGACTCTCTACAGGTCACAATTCTTGTCCGATTTTTACGAAATTGGAAATATAGGTTTATCCCCAAAAGATCTTGGCTGCTTTCGATATTGGCAAGTATCGGATCGAAACTTCATGGATTATGGCCCCTGTTTGTACGAAAAATCACGTTTTTAGCTTGTGGACCCTATAGAGGTCACAATTTTTATCCGATTTTGTTGAAACTTGAAATGTAAGTTTATAACTCAAAAATCTCGGTTCCTTTCGATATTCACGCATATCAGACCGTAACTTCCTGAATTATGGCCCCTGATTGTACGAAAAATCGTGTTTTTAGCTTGTGGACCCTATAGAGGTCATAATTTTTATCCGATTTAAAAAAACGTATTATTATATTACCGTTACACCCTAAGGATGACTGAGTTCGAATTTCGTGAAAATCGGCCCAAAATTGACAGACAAAATGGCTGCCGTTCGTTCTCAAATAGCGTAAAAATATGGTATATCAAGGTTGTGGACCCTATAGAGGTCACAATTTTCATCTGATTTTGTTGAAACTTGAAATGTAAGTTTATAACCCAAAGATCTCGGTTCCTTTCGATATTCGTGCATATCGGACCATAACTTCCTGAATTATGGCCCCTGATTGTACGAAAAATTGCGTTTTTAGCTTGTGGACCCTATAGAGGTCATAATTTTTATCCGATTTAAAAAAAACGTATTATTATGTCACAGTTACACCCTAAGGACGACTGAGTTCGAATTTCGTGAAAATCAGCCCAAAATTGACAGACAAAATGGCCGCCGTACGTTCTCAAATAGCGTAAAAATGTGGTATATCAAGGTTGTGGACCCTATAGAGATCACAATTTTTATCCGATTTTGTTGAAACTTGATATGTAAGTTTATAACCCAAAGATCTTGGTTCCTTTCGATATTCGCGCATATCGGACCTTAACTTCCTGAAATCTGGTCCCTGATTGTATGAAGAATCGCGTTTTTAGCTTGTGGACCCTAAAGGTCATAATTTTTATCCGATTTAAAAAAACGTATTATTATGTCACCGTTACACCCTAAGGACGACTGAGTTCGAATTTCGTGAAAATCGGCCCAAAATTGACAGACAAAATGGCCGCCGTTCGTTCTCAAATAGCATAAAAATATGGTTGTGGACCCTATAGAGGTCACAGTTTTGATGAAACTTGAAATACATATTTATAACCCAATGATCTTGGTTCCTTTCGATATACGCACATTTTGGATCATAACTTCCTGAATTATGGCCCTTGATTGTTCGAAAATTCACGTTTTTAGGATGTGATCCCTCTAGATGTCACAATTTTTATCCGATTTTAAAAAACGTTTGAATATATCCCTGTCAAACCCTTATGATGGTTGAGTCCGAATTTCGTACAAATCGGACCAAAACTGCCGGACAAAATGGCTGCCCCTCGTACGCAAATATTGTAAATATATTGTATATCAAGGTTTTGGACCCTCTAGAGAGTGGACACAATTTTGATCCGATTTTGATGTAACTTGAAATACATGTTTATAACCCAAAGATCTTGGTTCCTTTCAATATTCATGCATATCGGATTGTAACTTCCTGAATTATGGCCCTTGATTGTACGAAAAAATCACTTCTTTTTTTGAGCTTGTTCTCTATCCATCTCTTGCAAAATGTGGGTGTATCTTGCATGGCAACCGCTTGTTTTATATAAAAATTATCATCCATTTTGGCCGGAAAAAATTGAAAGCCAGTGTGAGCCATGTATTTGATTAACCAATCAGCATTGTTGTTTCTAGTGGATTACCCACAGTTGCGTGCAGCTCACGGCAAAAGCACGCCGTAACAGACCGTTTCATTGGCTAATCCCTCACATGATCCAGAACACGTTGATCCTAGTATAGTAAAGACAAGTAAAACGAAATTTTGAACTATAAAAAAACAAAACGAAATAGGATCTGTGTTTTAATCAGATTGGATTCTTTTCAAATTTGGTGTGAAGCGTCATTGCCATTAGGTGAAGAACCCAATGATAAATTCTACAGGTTTTAACTGATTCTTTTTAAAATATGGTGTGCAAAATTGTGACCGATATTCATCATTCTGCTACTTCCAGTTCCAGATTTATCCCCCTTTGTCCTTTCGGATAAGCTGCTGTGTGGGGGTATTTCTACATTTTGTGTGTCTATCTTTTATCGTGATTTTCCCTTGTCAGTGGCGCTGGATGGAGGGCCCAGCAAAATTTTCCCTCACACCACACTGCATGGCATATGCCGAGTGTTTTGAAAAGAAAAATAGGACGTCATTACCCATTTCATTTCTAATGATGGTGTAAGCCATAACAAGAATTCTACAAGATTAAACATACAAGTAAACATGTCTGTATTTTCCATAACAACACTTATAAGTAGGCCATTTCTTTACAATTTGACATTTGATTTACATACTTTTATCAACAGACACCCTGTGAAATCTGGGACTTCTTTAATCTTTTGTCAATTGTAATGCTTAAACATACATTATGCAAGAGCTAAATCTGTCTGTTGGAGGTCTTTCTTTAGGCCTGAAATGTTATCTAAATTATTAATTAGACATTAATTAACCTATCAAGGTCATAATCAACTCTCAATGGCATCCCTAGCTTGCGATCTTTAGTGGATTATGAGCTGATTTATTGCATAACTTTCCTTCATGATTTAACGATTAAATGGATAATCAAGACTATGCTGTTTATCATACTGACTTTAGTAATGATGATCGAGGCTAGGCGGAAATTTCAATTGCTTAATTCTCGGTTCATAGTGGATAATTTAAATGAAATTTTCAGCAAATTGCCTTTACAGTAAATAGTTTG